TCAGGGCCTTCAAATAGTACCAGACCCCCTTTTCCCTCCTCCGTGGCAAGGGAGATTCCTCGGGAAACAGAACAAAGTGCCCCCTCCCAGCCAGAGTGGTGTCACAGAGGGCTGTGGAAGTCCGGACACAGGCCCCCAGCCAGCTCTAAGGAGGACCCCCAGTGTCAACAGAAGCTGACGGAGGATCCCGTACTGTCACCCCCACTTCACAGCATCTCTTTCTTCATCAGAATGATGTCAGGAGAGACCTTTAACTAAAAAGGAAGAAAGTTTAACTAAAATTCATAGTTTCATAACATACACATTAAATGTCCATAACGCAATTTTACAAATCACTCATACAGAGAACCGGGAAAAATCTCAGCTTGAATGAGAAAATGCTACGGACCCAGACCCATTTAGCCCGCTGCAGTCTGTTAATCACTAAAAGGACAAGTTTTGCAAGACAGTTTATTCCTGAGAGTGGCAAACATGAGATGGGAGTTCAACGTCTCAACTCTGTCTCCTAGACCACAGCATTTGGGGTATTTACGGAAGCAGCAGCACCAAGGTCTCAAGCATGGGGAAACATGATTGGAGGTTAAGGAAAGATGACGTAATCAATGGCCTGCACATGCGTGATCAAACCAGTGCTCTTGAGACTTGCTTCCAGAAAATAATGATGTTAGAGTGCTATGAGGGTGGTGTTCTTAACCCTCTGATATCAAAAGGCCACCCATCGAGTGAAGGGGCAATAATTTCAACGGTTGGAGCTATCGGGTTCCTGAATGACACCTTAGGCAACTGTTACCATCCTGACCAATACATCAGAGATGTTATCTATAGCCAACTTGATGGGAGGGTGTATAGTGCTTAGCTAAATGACCTCAGAATTGTCATTAAAAGCAAAGGAAACTAGAAGTTTTGTTAAGATTTTTCTGTTTCAAAAGATAGTCAACAGATGCCATACAAAAATCTCTTCAGATGTTGTAAGTCTCTGAGGAAGATTTTAAAGTAGCCATCATAAAAATGCCTCAGTGAGCAACTATGAACATGCTGGAAAACAAAAAGAAAAACAGAAAATCAAAGAAATTGAAGATGTAAAGAACTAATGAGAACATTTGAACATTTGCAATAATCAAAATTTAAAACTCTCTTGATATCCAGGCACTGTGGAACATAATCTCAGCTACTACGGAAGCTAAGGCAGGAAGCTCACAAGTTCCATGCCAGCCTGGGCAACTTAATAGACCCTGTCTTAAAAACAAAAAATAAAAATTTTTCAATGGTACAGCACTTGCCAGTAGTGGGGTGGGGGGTGGGGGGGTGGGGTGTAAAATGTATTCCATGGATAGATGAATAGCAGAATGGAGAATAGAGAAAGTATGATTAGTAAACTGGAAGATAGAAAAAAAGAAAGTGCCCAATCAAAACAATAGGAAGAAATGGGTATAAAACAGAATATCAGGGACCTGTGGTACTATACTGAAAGAAAACTCCTGTCATCAGAGTCCAGGAAGGAGAGAATGAGGTGGTACCTGAAAAGTGCTTAGGAAATAATGGCTAAACATTTCCCAAATTTGGCACAAAATAAAGATTCAGGAAGTTCAGAAAACTCAAACAGGATAAATCCTGTTTATCCTTGAGTATAAAACCTCAAACAGGAAGCCAAGAAACCTCAACCTTAAAGAAACTCATGCTAATAAGACACATGAAACTTCTAAAATTTAAAGACAAAAATAGATTTTGATATTTAGATCCACCAGTTCAATTACTTCCAACAAATTGAATGAAAGCACAATCACCTTTGATTTCTAAAGAACACCTTCTACCATTCATATCTTTTACTATTCATAGCTTTTTGCAATATTTTCTTTCCAAGAGAAAGCATTAAGAATATAGTGAAATGGCCCTGGAGTGGGGTTTCTCAGCCTACTGAACTGTAAACTCTCTTTCAGTAAATATAAAAAGTTTTATGCCACATTTAAATATGATTTTAACTTCAAGATAAACTATTAGCTCTAAATAAAATAAAAATAAGCATCTCAATCATCTACTTACCAGACTGATAGGGTGGACAGTGATGTGTAGGATGAGTGAATTCATGAAAAGCCATATAACTTGCCTCAGTGCAATGTGGCTTTCACTGGTGGAAATGGTACCTCTGAAATACACTGTTTCTCAAGAAGTAAGCAAACAGATAAAAATTATTTAGCCTTCTAGGAAGATTCAGACAAAATTCTGTACTAAAAAATATTTTAAATCCCAGAAAAAAATAATTTCCTCTAATGATGGGAGGGTTTATTACTCAGGGTTTACACAGATTAGAGATCTCTGACCTACATGCTTTTGCAGAGTCTCTTTGGGGGCTAAGGCTGGCCTTTCCCTAGCTTCATATATTGAAGCAGTTTTGCAATTTTCCACACTATGGTTGCTCCTGCCTTGATGTGGCTTCTGTTGGCCAGCATCTGTCATAAACAAGGAGAAAGGCCTACAGATCATTCCACAGCTGCCTGGGTACCCTGTTTCTGCAGTGCTTAAAAAGTTAACCATGACAATTGTTGATCATGACATAAGGTTCTAGATTCCATCTCTCCTCTGGGTCCTATCACCCAGATTTCAAAGAAAAAAATAGAAATAATCTGAAAATCCATCAACAGGGAAGAAAATTAAAAATAATCTTCAAGTCCATTATTAGGAAATTACAGTATACTTTTCCCATAAAATACCATGTAGTGATCAAAAAGAATGAAGTAAGCCTGAATATATAAAAACTTGGAATATTTTCCAGAATTTATGGGAAAAAAAGGGATATGCAGTGCAACATGAAACTATCTATAACAGGCACATATGAGGGAACCACACCAAGTTGCAAATGGGAAGGATTGGGAACAGCATTGGGTGGAAGAATGCTTTGACTTTGGAATCTGTTTTCAGATTGATTTGTTTATATTAAAAAAAATTTTTCATGTTTTGCTCATGCACATGGACTTATGAACACTTTAAAAATTAAGATCAAGATGAAAAATTGAGTTAGTGGAAGACTCAGTAGAGACTACAGGATATTGGATTATGAAGGGAAAAGACCAACTTGGACAATACATGGTGTTTTGTGGGAAAGGTATTAATTTCCTTTTAGTGGACTGGAAGATTCTTTCCTGTTGATGGATTTTCAGGTTATTTCTATTTTTTATGCTAAAACTATATTGTAATGATCATTCCTTTATGTTTTTCTCTGTTCACATTCACCTTGTCTAAGGAGATGGGAAAGAAGCTAACAGCTAAACTTTAGTTCTAAATTCCTTGTAAACATGCTAAAAACTGGGACCTATTGGCAAATAGACTAATGATATTTGCTAAGAGGACTTTTATCTAAGGAATGCTTTTAGTGGTTCATAGCTGGTTAAGGATTTTTTATAATAAACTTAGAATTTATGGATGTTTGCAAGAAAGTTACAAAAGCTATACAACTTCAGAGGATATAAACTGGTCATGTTTCCTTACCTAAAGGCTCTCTGCTCTCTTCTAAGTTAAACTTTCTTACTAACTTGAGAAATAGCACAATGTAATAATAAAGCAAATGCATTCTGGAGTAGAGTGTGGGGTTTGAATCCAGGTCAGCCACTTGCTAAGTATGGCCTCAGAAAAGCTACCTAAGTTTTTGTGACAAGGCCAATTTCATAGTCATGTAACGATTATATGAGATAATGCGACAACACCAAGAATAATACCTGGAACATGGTAAATGATCAAACAATGATACACAATCATAGGAGCTCTTTATTTTTCTTACATATTAATTGTATGATTATTAAGTATTAGTATTTTGTGACTATTTTCTTATCTGCTATTGTTTATAAACATTTGTAAGATAGGGATTTTTGTTCATTTGTTTGCAGTGCTGGGGATTGAGCCCAGGGGCTCGAGCATGTAAGGCAACTGCTCTACCACTGAATCACACCCCCAGTCAAGGACTCTTTTTCTTTTTTAATGCAATCAAATCTGTCATTTTTTTCCTTTACAAACTTTATTATAACCTAATTTTTATCTAAATCATTTTATTGACTGCTGCAAACATGAGTTCACATTTTCATTAATGTGCCTTCTGATTTCGGGGTCAGGATCTTAAGAGTCTTCTCTGGTCTCACCAAACTCCACTGCTGTTCTTTTTTCACAGAGGACAACTGTTGGTACTGCTTTTTCACTCTCCCTCTGAACTATTGCTTTTCTTTCCATATTATATTCCCTGAAAAAAATCTTATCTACTCCAATGATTTCAACAAAGTCCCTTTAGGCAGATGACAATGAAACTGTCAGTCCAGTATTTGGGTATTTCTAACTTGATTTTTTATAATCATCTTAACCTAAATTTCTTCCTAAATTGAACTTTATATAGTTATATATATATACTAAAATGGAAAAATCTCTAAGGGATAAATACTCTTTTAGTTTTTTTCCTTTAACTTATAATAAATAGTATAACTAAAGAATATAACTATTTATAAGTAACATGTAATCATGTAATATGCAATCATGTGTCCTCTGGGAAGACACACAAAAATGGGTACAAGTAGTTACAACACATAAGACTTCTTGCTTTAACTTTTTTGAGCCTCTTGAATTTTGTACCACCATATGTAATGCCTGTTCAAAAATAAATACAAGTCTATTAAGAAATACAAGGAACCACCTCATCAGTCCCATCACATCTATTGTCTGTTTTGGGTGGTGATATCCCTCATCTACTCAGTTTCTACTAAGCACTTGGGAATCATCCACCATCTTCTCAAATGCACATCTAATTTCCATATTCTGCTGACATGCCTCAGAAAGGAACCCTTCCATCCATCCACACATTTAATTGCAACCCTGGGATTATACAATAAGCTAAACCCTTTTGTCTGGGCTACAGACAAAAAGATGAGATACTGTCAGGACAATACCCTCAAGAAGCCCCAGAGCTTAGAGATGCAGAGCAGCACACATAGTACTTCTTAAATAACCAATTCCATAAGCCATTTACAAGTATTTATTTAGGTAAGAGGTCATAAAATATATTTTATTACATAAGAAAAAACACATTTGAATGATTAAAAAATAAAATGACAGGTGACAGAATTTAGTGTTTAGAAATGAAATCATCAATAACTTCTAACACTTCAAAGAAAAAACTCAAAGTGTATCTAAAGGTTGAGACTATGTTTTACAATATTTTGTAATAAAAAAAGTATTAGACTTTTAAAGGCAATACATGACATAATGGTTTTCTGAATGATTTCAAAATAGGTTTTAAGACACTGTCATACATAGACATGGGAAAAGAAAAGACAAGAACTTTGGCAAGCAAAGTATTAATCCATAGCAGCTTGGTAAAAGTTTACTTCTTTTAATATAAAAATTCTTCAATTTACATTTGTTCTTGTTATAGGAGCAGAAAGAATTAATATGGTAACGTGTGAGAAATCTATAAGCTACATGGCAAAAAGGATTATTTCAATAAAGCCTGACTTCTATGAAAAATGTGCACCACACTGCATATATAGTAACGGGGTAAATGTAAACCTTGTGATTATTAACTCTTCTATATAAAATATTTAACCCCCAAATCTCACAAAATGCTCCCTATATTTCTTTTTTAAATGCAGCCTCAAGCTTTAAACTAACATACATTTGCTATTTGAAAAAGTTCTCATCTCCATTTTTAAAAATGTTCCGTAAAGTACTTAAGAAAAAAAAAAATTTTCAGTATGCTGGTAACAAGCTTTCAAAAAACTACCAAAGCTAGAGAAGGGATCACCAAACCAGAGGTTTCCTTCTCTAACCCCTGGAAGACCTTGCTACTTGGAGGCTCATAGCTCCAAGAAGATAACTCAGGATTTCTAACTTAAAAAAAAAAAAAAAAAAAAAAATTGTCATGAATAACTGGATAATTAAATTTCTAGGAAAATGAAATTTTTCTATTTGGATTACGCAAAGTCAATTATAATGAATTGCCTTCCAATTATTTATGAATTATGAATGAAAGATGAGAAATCAGTTGTTACATACAAAAGATAAATACTGCATAATATGTAGTGAATATTTGCACAAACCCTCTTATTTAAAGCATTAAATGCAATCAGTAAATCTGATGCTCTTAAATGTGTTTTCTTAAAATACATTTATGACACAACTCAAAAAAACCTCTAAATGGTACAGAAACATTTTTAAGGCTTTCCTATAGGTTTATAACAAGCATCGGGTTGCCATAGGCGAATATCAACAAGAACCTGATTGAGTTTTTGCATCCAGAGATCCCGCTCTTCCTTAGTATCTGCAGACAGCCAGTTCCTACAGGAACAAACAAACAGAGGTCAGAATCTCCTCCATCTCATTCCATACCTTCATGTAGCCTTGCTAAGAAAAATAAAAACCAAAAAAAAAAAAAAAAGCCTAAATAAATCAGTAAAAAGAGTTAGTCTTAACACCTTTTAATGAGTTCTAATAAAGAACCACAAAATGAGACGTTTTTCTAAGTATAATAGAGTAAAATTATCCTGTTTGGTTAGCTGATCATAACTCACACTAACAACGTTTCCAACAAAGAAGGTGTTTCACACAGGCAGTCTTGCCTAGGTAATTTGGCAATGTGAGACACCCACTGAGTATACGCAGCTTCCTAGTAATACTATCACAGACTCAAATCTGAGTTATGGATATCCTTGAGAGCTCAAATCTGAGTAACCGATATCCTTAAGACTCAGGCTCCCTAAGAGCTGGATGCTCTTGGATCTTAACCTGCCTTTATAGGTAATGCCACTGTCATTGTTCCCCATTATTTTTGTCCTACTATGCTGGTAGAACATGGTGGTACTTAAAATAAAGATTCTAAGACTTTTGTCATACCAGGAATCTCTTCCTTGCATTCATATTAGCAACAAGTTGAATGAATAACTGGTTGATGGGGTGAGCAATGGCAGGGAAAGGGGGAGTTCCCTAATTCCCAGACAGACCGTCCTTCTAGAGAATAGCCATTTATCTGTTAAAGGGTTTTATGCTGTACTCATTTTATACCTTTACAATTTGTCATTTATACTAAAATGGTGCAAAAATGAATAAGGGGGTAAATTTACCATTTCCGAAATGTTAATAAAAAGAATATTACTTGGAATAACAATGACCTTTTGTAGTGCTCAACATTGTGCTAAGTGTATCTATTCATTAACTCTCTTGTCACTCTATGAAGTTTCTTTTTCCCTTTTGACACAGGAGAATTCAGAGAACTAGCAAAGTTAAGTGACCTGCCATGATTACATCTATTAAGTTACCAAGTTAGGTTTGTAGAGCCAGAAGTGTAGCTTATGGTTTGATCCCCAGTGCCCAAAACAAATTAAAAACCAAAACAAAAAAACACTTAGGTCTGTTGACTTTAAAGCTCCTCTATAAATATTGCCTCCCCATGTGATAAGGTATTTCCAGTTCAAATATGTAGTGTCTACTGTAAGGTAGGCAATATTGATCAGGAGAAATCTTTTATGATGGAGAAGGGAAATAGAGCAAGCCTGGTTAATAAAAATGAAAATGAGGTACATTAAATTTAGATAAAAGGTATATGTTTAAAAGGCACTAACTACAGAGAAATGGATCGACAAAAAAGAATGCAGAATTGCAGCGTATTTTTATTGTTATGATCAAAAAAATAAAATAACTTTTAAACCCTCAAGCAAAGCTTAAGATAGCCAGGACTATAAACTGAGAATATGCTTGGATAAAACAGAACACAACCAAGTTATGATGTTATAAGAAAAACTACACATAAATAAACAAAATAATTAGAGCAATAGGTAATCTAGCTACTTCTACCATAGGGGAAGTCCCAAAGAGCAGTGTAGAAGGGTTTATGCAGCAAGTAAAAAATAAGATTATATGAAAAATATGAGTAAGATTTTACAAGAGATAAAGTAAGCTGTTGTGGTCAGAACTATTTAGGTACTGAACTTTGGTTCTCTCAATGATGGAGACCAGCCATGGGGCAGCTACCAAGCAAAAATAATTACAAATCCATTTTGCCTCTCCTGTCCTGTCTTTACACTACTGTTGAAGGTCCCGGAAGGAAAGGAATGGATAAGCCAATGTGAATTAATCAGGACGTAACCTACTCATCAAGAATTTGCAAAGAATGGGTCCCCTAGTTTTTAAAAAACAAATTGGCAGGCTCTAAGGAACAACATTGTTCTATTTTGGTATAATGTCTCTGGGCTGCAGCTTTCTAAGATTTTCATATTAGAAACTCAGTGAGCTAAGGCTACCATCTCCCTGTCCTCAATATCCAGCAACAGACTGATGAACAAAGGTTTTTGTCAAATTCTAATTTTTGTGCCTAGTTATAACTTTGTCTTCCAACTTTTTGGTCATTCACGCAAACGAAGCTATGTTAGACCCTTAGAGTTATTACTAAGTTTTTGTATCTTAAGCTGAAGGTTAACAAAAAAATGATATTCCCAAGAATTTATTCTCTCAACCTCCAACCAGGAATCTGAAGAATGAGACTCTTTTTGTAAATCATTGGGTTAAATGAGGGTATTTTTGTAATGGAAAGGAAGGAATTTATCAAGTTTTCTTAAATAAAGCTTGACTTCTCAGCTACACATGAAATCTGTAAACTTAACCCAAAGATTATTAATTAGCTAACCACCTTGAAAATGCCTACACTGTGAACATATTAGAAAACATGATTAGCTGGGATATAACCTGAATGTTAAATACTTCTTAACTATATTGTTTTATAGACTGTTCTCTTAATGCTGTAGATGTGTTTCCTACTATGGCTGTTCCCCTTTCAAAGTCAGAGGTCACTCTGATATTTCTCATAGTGGTAAGAACAAAGTGGGTAATTAGTTACTTAGTTGACAGAAATAATAAAAGGCTGATACATACTTTGTGACACAGAGTGTATCCCTACATTGGCTGACAAGAGTCTCTCGGTCATCTTCTCTCTGTGGTCGGACAGTAATTAATTCAAAAGTATTGCGTCTTGCACAAAATTCTCTGTTGGCTGGTTCTATCTGATGGCTGGTACAATTGGCCAGATTAATCCTTCCTATGGGATTCTTTAAAAATAAATTTAAAAAACATTAGTAGTCTAATTTCTTGACTTGACAAAACTAAGTCAAGAAACATTAAGCGTTAAGTTAGTAAAATTAAAATTAAAAAGCCATTCATTTAAAAGCTAAATTTCCCCAAAATGGAAAATTAATATATGGGGGAAAATGCCCTGGTAATCTCTAATCATCAGGGAAATGTAAATCAAAACCACAATGAGATATCACATCATACCTGTTAAGTTGTCTAGTATCAAAAAGACGAAAAAGAACAACTCTTGGTAACCACCACCACAACAAAAACCCCTATACACTGTTGGTGATATTGTAAATAAATATAGCCATTTTAGAAAACAGTATGAAAGTTCCTGGAAAAAAAACTAAAAATAGAATTACCATATAACTCAGCAATCTCATTACTAGATATATACCCAAAGGAATTGGAATCAGTATGTCAAAGAGATGTCAGCACTGCTACGTTTGCTACAGGATTATTCACAATAGTCACAGTATGGAAACAACCTAAGTATCCGTTAACAGGTGAACGGATATTAAAATGGGATACTACTCAGCCTTGAAAGAAGGGGGGCCATATAAATAAATTGTGATACAAAGTTTCCAACAAATATGGAATAAAAAATAACATATAATAAAAATAAAATTTAAAAAATACATAATAAAAATAATAAAATATATAATTTTTAAAACCTTAAACAGGAAATTTTGACATTTGAGATAACATGAAAGAATCTAAAGGTCCCTGTGTTAAGTGAAATAAGCCAGGCACAGAGAGGCAAACAGCACATTGATCTTACTTTTTACATGTGGAATCTAAAAAAGTCAAATTCATACAAGTAGAGAGTGGAACAGAGGCTGGGGAAGGGAAGGCAGTAGATAAAGGGAGAAATTGACCAACAGGTACAAAATTAAAGTTAGGCAAGAGGAATAAATTCTATTGCATGGTATGATAACTATAGTTAATAATAATGTACATTTGAAAAATAATAAAAGAATTTTAAGTGTTCTCAGCAGAAATGAATGAAAAATATTTGAGGTGATAAATATTCTAATTAGCTTGATTTGATCATTGCACAATATAAACATATATTGAAAACATATTGGACCCCATCATAAAGAGACTAAGTCATTACTTATCAGTTAAATTAAAAATTAAAAGTTAAAATATTTAATATTTTATATTAAACATAAATAGTCAATATTTCTTATTGTTTCTTGCTATACAAAAAATTGGAAACCAAAAATACCAACTGATGGCTGTTATTAACTATTCTATGAACCTAAAATAAACAAAACCACTATTATGGAAATCTTCAAACAGAAAACAAAAAGAACAGTATATAATCCCTTAAGTACCCTCAACAATTAGATACATCTGTTCAACTACCTTTTGCCTATACTTCACCTTTTTCTCCTCTTTCAGTAAAAAGAAGCCTAGACATCTTACTTCATGTATAAATATTTTTTTATGTATCTCTAAAAGATAAGGCCAAGCAATTGGAAGCTAAATCATTCCTGTGCTATGTTAACTAAAAATCCATGAGACCAAATGATCCCCAAAAAGGAAGAGGGATACATATGGTCACAGCCAATAAAACTGTCAATTCTATTAGTAATTTTAAGAATTAAAATAAAATATATAATTTTTAAAACCTTAAATGGGCTAAGTTTGGATAGAACAGTAAAATCCTCTGTTCGTTGGTTAAAGGTAACAGAAATTCTTACATCCCAAGTATAAAATGGTTTGTGACTGGCTGGCAATTTGATAACAGCTATCAAAAAGCATTACAAGTAAACATATTCTGATCTACAATTCTACTTAAAAGAAATTTATCCTGAGCAAATACATAAGCAAACAAAGATATTTATTCATATGTAGTCACTATTTTTTCACAATAGCAAAAATTCAAAACAAATTAAAAGATAGTAAGGGGGGCCATATAAATAAATTGTGATACAAAGTTTCCAACAAATATGGAAAACTAAACAGTATGAAACTAAATAGTATGAAAGTTCTGCTATTATATAACCCCTCCAAAATTCTAGATAATTGAACTTAAAAAAATAAAAGAAATCATCAAAAGCCAAAATCAATGAGGAAGAGAGAGTGCTGAAGAGCAAGCTAGCCTGAAATCCTGGTCTACCCTTGGGGCATTAACTAATGTAGAAATCTATAGCCTGGCTCACACAGATGAAATGTTTAATATGAAGCCTGGTACTTGCTTTAAAATATGCCCAGCAAAACAAGAAAAAAAAAAAAGTATGTTCTGGAGACACAAATTAAACTTCAAAATTAATACTTCCCAGAGCTAATAGTATAGTATATTATTTCTTTTTTGTGTACATGAATATTTTAATTATAAAAAGCAAAATATAGGGTGGGGCTGAGATTGTAGCTCAATAGTAGAGCGTTTGCCTAGCATGTGTGAGGCACTGGGTTCGATTCTCAGCACCACGTATACATAAATAAAATAAAGGTCCATCAACAACTAAAAAAAATTTTTAAAAAAAGCAAAATATACTTTTCCATGTGTGTGCACCTGCAGGAGAGAAAGAGATAAAAGGGCTAAAAAGAGTAATACATTATTGAATAAGAATAAAGATTTGCCTGACCAGGTACTAAGATTTATTTTAAGCTGTAGTTATTGAGATTAGGATAGAAAAAGAGAAAAGGAAACAGAATAGAAAAGCTAAAACATAAACCTACTCATAATTATATCTTAGATGTATACATATAACAAATATATTAACACTTGCCAGAAATGGCACTGTGAATCAGGGGGAAAAGGACTGACCATTCAATAATGCTGGCAAAATTTGTTATCCAGGGCTGGGGATATAGCTCAGTTAGTAGAGTGCTTGCCTCACACGCACTAGGCCCTGGGTTCAATCCCCAGTACCACACACACACTCACACACACACTCACACACACACACACACAAAAGTTTCTCTGGTCCCAAAAAGTAAATTTAAAAATTCTAGATAAATTAAATGTTAAGTATAAAACTTTGTAGATAAAGTATAAGAGAAATTTTTTGGTTACAGGGTAAGGATGGTTTTCTTAAGACTCAAAAAGTACAAAGAGCTGGTGATATAGCTCAGTGATAGAGTACTTGCCTATCATGCACAAGGCCCTGGGTTAAATTCCAGTGTCACAAAAACAACACAATAGGTTAACAGATCTGGTTTCCTCAACATTAAAAAATTCAGTAAATTTTTAAAACACTGTAATAATAAAAGATATCCCAAGCCATAGACTAGAGAATTATAATTCCAATTTACAAAAAAGAATGTGAAATGGCTAAAATATATAGAAAATCAATTAATAGAAGAGAAAATATAAATAGCCATACATATAAGAAAAGATGCTTCCTCTAGTAATCAAGGATATATAAAATAACAGTGAGATAACACTTTGGATCTACTGACAAAAGTTTAAAAGGCTGACAGATCAAGTGTCAGCAAAAATAGGAAAACTGAGAAGTCCCATATACATCTTGGTTGGAATGGAAAATTGTGGACTATCTTCAAAGAATCATTTGACAAAATAGCTAAAGATATGAAAAATCCCACAACTCAGAACTTTCATCCATTTATTTAAAAAGCAACAGAACTAGTTTTAATAGCAAAGATGTGGAAATAATCTAAGTGCTCCTAAAGAGGAGAATGAATAAAGTGTGATGTGTGTGGTCTTACAGTGCAATACTATATTCAGAGAAAAAGAAACTAAAAATACACATATCCTCCTAGACTAACTAACACATTGTCCTCAAAAAGGCAAGTTGTAGAATATTTACAATATATTATTTGTTCAATGTTTAAAATACCAATTGCAATAACATATATTACATATATACAATATAATCTGAAGAAATACATAGGAACAAAAAACAATTTTAGCATGGGTTATCTCTATGGAGAACATCTACATAAACAGCTTCAACTGGACTAATAACTAAAGTTGACTGAAATGATGTTTGAATATCTTAAACATTTCACATATATTTTTTAAATACTAATAATCTTAATGACCATAATGTAATACTATTTAATAATTACTAAACACAATATCATAGATTTATCTTTTTTGATGTGGAAAGATATAAAGTACTGCTTTGGCTGGAGATGTGGCTTAATGTACATGGTTGCCTAGTATGCTCAGGCCCTAATCCCAGCACAGGAGGGGGGAGGGGGCAGAAAGACTCTAAGAGAAAAGAAGAAAAATCATAAGCAATGGACAGGATATAAAATCTTGACAAACAGAGGACTGCAGCAAGAACATTTTAAGGGCTTAGTAAGTACATGCAAGGGAGAATCTTGAAGGACAGAGGGAACACTTGCATGAGACACCACATGAAAATCAGAGCTCTTCACCACCAATCAGTACTACTTAAATTACCTTTCTCCTCTCATCATCTGGATAAGTCCAATAAGAGATACAGTTGCCAGAAAGAACACACCATCTTCGATGCCAGGCACCAAAACCACTAACATCTTCAAATATGGTCTGGAAAAGTCAATTGAAATGCTGACTTGAGAAACTGGAGGAAAATGTCCAAACTATAAAATGCTGATTCTGTATCTTCAACTTCATGTCACCACATTTCATGTTGCCACATTTCATGTCAAAATGTATTTGTATGATTTGTATCATATCTTTTTACTTTAGTAATGAAAATTGTTGATTGTTCACATCAGAAGATAACTGTTATATTATCTAAAAGCATTTAATACCACCTAGATAATTAACCTCAAATAAATATCTCTATAAAACTTTAGAGTTTTCATGAGCATGGTATCCCTAACCAAATGCTCCTTAAACAAGAGAGATGTATGAGTGTTATAGAATATAATGACATGAGAGTATAATATCTTCTGCATTAAAAAACTAGTGACAGGCTGGGCGCAGTGGCACACGCCTGTAATCCCAGCAACTCCGGAAGCTGAGGCAGAAGGATCACTTCAAAGCCAGCTTCAGCAACAGTGAGGCTGTAAGCAACTCAGTGAGACCCTGTGTCTAAATAAAATACAAAATAGGGCTGGAGAGGTGGCTCAGGGGTTGAGTGTCCCTGAGTTCAATCCCAGTTTACCCTCCCACACACACACACAAAAAAATTGTGATAGGATATTAAGTTAAACTTATCTTCACATGAAGTCTGGCATTTCATTTATTCTCATTTAGAACAGAGTTTCTAACAGGATTATAAAAGTCAACTCATGATCATAAGTTGATGGACTACTGTGATAAACATCAGAACTCCAAGTCCACTGCCTGGCTATCAGTTGCATTTGGAAGTGGCATCTCCCTGCAGTCAGACATGTCTTAGGAATGCAGGTGGCATCCCAAGAGTAGGTGAAAGATAGTGTTGGTTACAGACCAAACACCTAAATAGGTAATGAGCAAGTACTTCCACTTAAACAATTTAAGTAGAAGCTGGGAAGTTTTTTTTCTCTGCGATTTTTCAATTGTAGTTATAACAGAGCCCTAATTTATATGAAGTCCTCACTTTTAATTTTTAAAAAAATCCTTTAGGAACTTTTACATTAAAGAAAAAAGGGAAAAAATGTAACAATGCTATATATAGATCATGAGTTGGCAAAATTTTCCTTGAAGGGCCAGAGAATAAATATTTCAGTCATAGTAGTTCATCTAGTCTATATTACAAATATGCAGCTTTCTTTTGTAGCACAAAAGAAGCATAGACACTAAGTGTAAACAGATTATCCCATTTCTACAGCAACCACTGGTGGGTCCTACTTTGCTATCCCCTGATGCAGATAACCTAAAGGCATCTTTGTGTTTGATTTCAGAATACACCAAGGTTTTCCTACCTTTAAATCACAACTTTACCTTTCTGATTGTTGGGTAGCTAAAAACAACACTAGTATTATTTGATTCTGGCTGGGAGGCACACTATTCCAAGAACATGTTTTCACATTAACTCAACTAATCCTAGCACCAACCCTGCAATAGGATACATACTCTTTCCAATTCACTGGTTTATGTGAATTTGGCAAAGGCAGTTTGTATGAGATGCTTCCATGATAGATAAAAAAAAACCCTCAAATCTATAAGCTTAGTTAGTTTAGTAAAATATTCCTAATAATCATATTCCTCCTGTCCTTTTTCCTCCTCCCTAGCTCATTCTTTTTCCCAACACATGCTTTTTTCTGAACAACACTGCTTATAGCTAAGGAAGAAAGAAATCTTGTCATTTCAATTTCAAGCACAAGTTAGTGCAGGTGACTCATGTCCCTCCTGTGTGAATCTTTTACACCCTGAAGGTAACAGTCAAGGGAAATGCTAATGGAGTTATTATCATACCCTACTTAATCAAAGAGGAATAAGACAGCCTTTTCATCTTTATAGCTGAGGAAAATGAGGGTTAGGGGAAAATTAAGTGACAACACACAATAACAAAGCAAAATTGGCATCTTCTAGCTCCCTGTCCAAAACGCCTTTCTGCTGTCATCATTCAAGACCGATCTGGACCCACATTGATTTAGAACCAGGTACCAATGTCTCTGGTTACAGACTTCCTCCTCCAGCTGTCTCTGGCACAGCAGGAAAGGAAATTGAACCAAATAGCTTTCATTTCAGTTACAATCTCTATTTTTTACAGAAAGTAGGTGGAATTAAAAATGCATTGTTTAGGCAGAGGACAAAGTCATATGAGCGAGTTCTGAGCTCTTCATTTCTGTGACTGTGGGTGTAATAACAATGGCTTTAGGATTCAAGTCTAGTTAAGAGCATAGCTCAAAAATTAAATAGGTTACACATTATATACAAATGAACTGGTTACTAGAACAGAACCTATCAGTTGCTAAAGGTGTCTACAATAAAATGTAAAAATATTTACATTTAAAGGTCAGTAAGTAAACATGACTTTCAAGTCAGAAATTTATTTTAAAATGCTTTTCCAAGGGCTGGGGATGTGGCTCAAGCAGTAGCGCGCTTGCCTGGCATGCGTGTGGCCCGGGTTCGATCCTCAGCACCACATACAAACAAAGATGTTGTGTCCGCCAAAAACTAAAAAAAAAAAAAATATTAAAAAATTCTCTCTCTCTCCCTCTTTAAAAAAAAAAAAAAATGCTTTTCCAAGACTATCTACTGCCACCTACTGGATTTATAACTGAAGAAGATAACAAGAAAGGAAAAATTGTGTGTGTTATCTGTAGGAAGTCTGATTTAGCTAGGCCACATGGGCTTTATTTTATACTTTAACTCTTCTTTTTTGCACCTTTCAATAGTAACTGCAAACTTATTTGTAACATCCCTTGTATCATTCAAATTCTTGTGTCAAAGAGAAAACCAATTCGATTTTCACCATAAACAAAACTTTCTATGTATTCTACACATATACTATCCTCTAATGACAGAAAAAGTATAATTCTATATAGACTGATCCCATGAACATTTCATCCCCTCATGACCTTGCTTTATGAATTACTCTAGTTCAAGTTCCCTATGGCTTCTATCTTCATCCTCTTTGGCCCTGTTAGAAATCACTCATTTGTATTTGGAGCTGCTCAAGTTTCTCCCATCCTAATAAATGAGGACCAAGTCCCTCTTTCACCCTACAGTACACTCACTCTTCTCTTTTCCCACTTGCTACCAAACTTTGTTTACAAGAGTTACTCCTGCTCTCACTCCTCACCTGATCCAGAACCAGTTGTGATCTAGAGAACCACTTGTGATCTAGCCTCTGTTCTTGCCAGGGCTGAAATGACCACCTTATTACTCCAGCAGTCACAGTGGATTCTTATCTAACTTGACCACTCCCTCCTTCAAACCCTTCCCTAGGCAACCAAAACATTCAATTCTCCATTTCCTTCCCTGTGGAATCCTCTGAGGGCTTATCTCACTTAAATGTCAATGTTACCCCTGGTCTGCTCTGCTCATTGGCCCTGGCCTTCCATTACTACCTTGACATGCAAACACATCCATACCTCTATCACCACTAAAACTTCTACCCTCAGTTCCAAATCCTGATCTTTGAAACACATCTCTAGTCCTAAAATTCAAATAATTTAAAACCCAGCTCATTAAAACTTCCCACTGCAAGTAGGAATTGACTGGGAAGGGGCATGAGGAAACTTATTAGTTTAAATCTTAATAGAAATTTGGGTTATAAACATCTATGTATTTATCAAAACTCAAGAAATGGGCAATTAAGTTTCAGGGGAAAGCCCTTAATGTCTACAATATATTTTGAAATTCTTCCAAAAAAAGATAGAGGAATGGCTGGATAGGAGATATGTGGTAAAACAAGGTAGTAAAAAATGTTACAGGTGTAAGATAAAATCTAGAAAGTGGATAGACGGATGCTCATTGTAAAATTCTATACACATTGCTATTTGTTTGCCATTTCTCACAATAAAATATTGGGGGGTGGGGGGATACATGGCCTCCAGCCTCAAATGTGAGAAGGAAGAACATACTTGCTCTTCCCACCAGGTGCTTTACCTCAATAGTATTCCTGCCACTCAAAATGTGCAAAGAGGGAGCTGAGCGCCATTCGTGACTTGTGATTTCCTCACCTGCTAGAGCCAAATCACCTGCTTGCTTCCTTCTTCATGTCTCTCTGATGAGCCATTCCCTGCATCCCACTTGTGGTTCCCATCATCTCTCACACCCAGTACCTATTTCCTAACTAGCCTTTCAGGATCACCATTCTCCAATCATGTTCCATATGTCAGGTCAAAATGATTTTTCTAAACCCCAAATTTAGTGTTTTCCTCTGTTTAAAATGCTTTAAGAATACCCCACTGGCTTCAGAATAAAGCCCAAAATCTTTTAAATGCCCTTTGACACTTGGCCCATTTCCCCTAACTATACTTTGCTTTCTAGTCCCTCTCCTCCCTCCACCCCTCCCCTTAACTCAAAGGCTGAAATACCTGTCATTGTTGGAGTGTCTCATGCTTTACTTCAGGTGAGGGTAAGAGAGGGAAGGGCCCTCCAGGCCACTGAACATGCTCCCCTTATATGGAACACTTATCTCCTTTCCCCTAACTTATTCAGTGAGCAGTTTAGAAGTTACTTCTTCCAGCAGCTTCCTTTAACCTTCTCCACACACAGGACAGATATTTTGCCAGCTCACACCTACCCCACTGTGTTTGCTCCTACTTTAGTACTGTATTGTACTTGCCTATTCATTTGTATTTCCCCTTAGTGAACTAAAAGCCTTAGTTGAGTGATTGCTTTTTATGGCCTATGGTATTCCAGCACAATGACTGGCATATAGACGATTTGCAACAAATCTTTATTGAACCAATTTATCATTTAATCACATAGACCTTCATTCCTATGGGAAACCAAGTCTATGTTTTATAAAATTGAAAAAGGAAAATAAAGACTAAATTATGCTACTTACTAGAAAACCTTTTTCTTCAACACTTGAATTCACTTGACAATTTATTTTTAAATAAATATGACCTTCCAAAGGAGATAAAAAGGGTACCTGGAAGAAAAGGGCAAATTATTTGTAAAATAGTTTCAAAGATGATTTTTCTTGATAAAACATGTATAAATCATGAATAAAGAATAATATGCATAGAAAATACATCATTTCTAAAGTTGGAATATAAAAGACATAGCCAAAAAGCCACTGATTCCTTAGCAACAAACACTTTTGAAGAATAAATTAATTCACTGTAGAGCTTGACAAAAATAAAAACCCTAATTAATATGAAAAATAAAACATAGATTTAAGAATAGATTACATATTTATCTATTCTCCATCAACAGAATATACTCAACTGGAGACCAACTGCTTAAATTTACTAATAAAGAAAAATGAATTGCAGAAATGAGAAAGCTAATCCTCAGACTCATAGGAAATTGTCAAAAGTCCTAAAAACCAAAATAATCTTGAAAAACAGAAACAAAGATGGAGAAATTATATATCCCCATTTAAAAAAATTAATTCACCAGGTGTAGTGGTGCTTGCATTTAACCCCAGCAACTTTGGAGGCTGAAATAGGAGGATCACAAGTTCAAAGCCAGTATCAGCAATTTATTGAGGCCCTATACAACTTAGTGAGACCCTGTATCTAAATGAAAATAAAAAGGTCTGGGGATATGGCTCAGTGGTTAAGTGACCTTAGGTTCAATCCCCCATACCAAATAAATAAATACATTTTAAAAAATAAAAAATTAATTCAAACTGTAGTACTGGCAAAGGATGGCACATAAACAAAGGGAAAATAATTGAGAGCCCAAAGAAATAAATTCATACATGCGTAGCCAATTGATTTTTGACAAGGATGCCAAGACCATTCAAAGGCACAAAGCAGTCTTCAACAAATGGTGTTGAGAAGATTGGATAGTCACATGAAAAAGAGACTGGACGACTTGTACCTCATACCATATACAAAACTTTAACTCAAAATGGATAATTATTTAAATATGACAGCAAATACCATAAGCCTTTCAAAAGAAAACATGAAGGTAAAGCTTCATGATTGTGGGTTGGGCAATGAGTTCTCAGATATGATACAAAAGCATAAGCAACACAAGGAAAAAAAATAAATTTTATTTCATCAAAATCAAAAACCTTTCAGTATAGAGGTTTCTCAAAAGTTGAAAGCAGAACTACTATATGACCCTGCAATTCCACTTCTAGTATTTGTCCAAAACAACTGTAATCAGGTTCTCAAAGTTATATCTGCATTCCCATCTTCAATGCACCACTGCTCAAAATAGCTATGAGGTAGCAAAAACCTAAATGACCACCAACAGAATAGATGAAGAAAATGTGATATGTAATGGTCTAGTGTTCAGAAAAGCCAAAGAACTCAACAACGAAACAATAAAAAGAACAACCCAAACAACCCAATTAAACGTTTGGCAAAGGACTTGAATGGGCATTTCTTCAAAGAAGATATATATCTGCCTGGAGTGGTGGTGCAGGCCCATAATCCCAGCAGCTCAAGAATGCTGAGGCAGGAGGATCACAAGTTCAAAGCTGGCTTCAGCAACTTAGTAAGACACTAAGCAACTCAGTGAGACCCTGTCTCTAATAAAATATATTAAGAAAAGGGGTGGGGATGTGGTTCAGTGGTTAAATGCCTCTGGGTTCAATTTCCAGCAACCCCCCCACCCAAAAGGTATATATCTGGATGTCAAAGAATATATACATGTATATCTTCCAATAAACACATAAAAAGATGCTCAAAATCAACAGTACTTGGAAAAATACAAAATCAAACCTACAAGGGGCACCACTTCATAACCACTAGGCTGGTTAAAATTTTGAAAAGAGAAAAGAATCAAGAATGAATAAACGGGATGGATTCAAAATAAAAAGCAGCTTCTCACAAAGGAAACAATCAATAACATGAAGAGAGAGCCTACAGGATGGGAGAAAACCTTTACCACACACACCTCAGAAACAGCACTAATCTCCAGGAAATATAAAGAACCCAAAAAACAGGGCTGGGGATGTGGCTCAAGCGGTAGCGTGCTTGCCTGGCATGCGTGCGGCCAGGGTTCGATCCTCAGCACCACATACAAACAAAGATGTTGTGTCCGCAGAAAACTAAAAAAAATAAATATTAAAATATTCTCTCTCTCTCTCTTTAAAAAAAAAAAAAGAACCCAGAAAACTTAACAAATAACCAAATAACCCAATCAATAAATGGGCTAAGGAACTGAACACTTCAAAGAAGAAATACAATCAATCAACAAACTATGAAAAAATGTTCAACATCTCTAGTGATTAGAGAAATGCAAACCAAAACTCTTAAGATTTCATCTCAATCCAGTTAGAATGGCAATTATCAAGAAAACAAGTAACAATAAATGCTGGCAGGGATGTGGGGAAAAAGGAAACTCATACATTGCTGGTGGGAAGGCACATTGGTGCAACCACTAAGGAAAGCAGTATAGATTCCTCAGAAAACTTAGAATGGAACCACCATTTGACCCAGTTATCCCATTCCTCAGTTTATACCCAAAGGACTTAAAATCAACATAGTACAGTGATGCAGTCACATCGATGTTTATATTAGCTATTTACAATAGCTAAACTATGGAACCAACCGAGATATCCTTCAACAGATGAATGGATAAAGAAAATGTGGTATATATACACAATGGAATATTGCTCAGGCTTAAAGAATGAAATTAGGGCATTTGCAGGTAAATCAATGGACCTGGAGAATATCATGCTAAGCGAAGTAAGCCAATCCCCCTAAAACCAAAGGCCAAATGTTTTCTCTGATTAGTGGATGTTTATCCATAATGGGGGGGGGGGAGCGGATAAGGAAAGAATGAAGGAACTTTGTGCAGAAGGAGTGAGGGAAGGGGAGAAGGTGTGGGGATGGAAAGGACAGAGGAATGAGACAGACATTAGTACCCTATACACACTACCTGTGTGACTCTGCACCATGTTCAGCCAGAGGAAAGAGAAGCTATGTTCCATTTGTGTACAGTACATCAAAATACATTCTACTGTCATGTATAACTAGTTAGAACAAATTAAAAAATTAAATTTTAAAAAAAGAAAAATACTCAAGACATGAAAAAGCATGAAAATATGGCCCTTATCAAGAGAAAAAAAAAAAAAAAACATCAATAGCAAATCCAGATCCACAGATAATCTAAATGTTGAATCAGAATAAGAATTTAGAGCAAAAGATGGGCAAAAATGGGTTAAAAGGATACAGAATATCTGCAGAGAATTAAAAGCTGTTAAAACAGGTCCAAATTCTGAAATTTCAAAACTAAAGAAAAAAGAGTTTCAATTACTTAGTAATTACTAGGTAGGCTTAATAGGAGACTGGGGTACCTCAGGAAAAAATTTAGATGGACTAGAAAACAGCTTATTAGAAATGATCTAAAATGAAGTACAAAGGAATAAAGAATTAAATGAAAATAAGAACATGCCATAACTTATAGGAAAATAGTCAACAGTCTAATAGATTTCTCAGGAGCTCCAGTAAGAAGGTAGAACTGTGCAGAGGAAATATTAATGAGTTAGAATCTGCCAAAACTTACAAAATACACAACTACAGATCCATAAACCCTGAAGTCTAGAGCGAGTGAGAATTTCCTTCAGATATTAAGAAATTATAAAAACATTTCTGAATGAACAAAAACTAGAGAATTTATTTCCAGTAAATCTATACTACAAGAAATTTTTAAAAAGTTCCTCCTGAGAGTGCAAGGTTCCCAGATGGAAACCTGGATTTGCAAAGGAATAAAGAACACCATAAATGGTAAATACAAAAGGGCAACATTTTAAAACATAATTTTAAAATGTCATTTAAAAATTAATTAAAGAAAAAATGATGACAGTGCTTGATGGGAATTATAATAAAGAAGTAAAATATAATGGGATGGACAAATGGGATTATGGGATTATACTGTTGTGGGATTCTGTTATACGGCACATGATGTGGCGTAATAATATTTCAAGGCAGATTTCAATAGGTTTAGGATGCATAGTGTAATTTTTAGCAACTACTAAAAAAAATAAATAGAAGGAAGTATACCTAAAATTCAACAGAGGAGATGAAAAGGATCACGAAAATATTCAAATATTAAATATTATCCTGAAGAAGGCAAGAAAGAAAAAACAAAGAAGCAAAAACAGATGAAACAAATTGAGGGAAAAAAAAAAAAAAAGAAAATTGTCAACAAACTTTTTCTGTAAAGAACCAATTATCATTTTAGGCTTTGTAGACCATATGGTCTGTCACTTCCATTCAACTCTACCATTAGAGCATGAAGGCAGCCATAGACAACATAAAAACAAATGGCATAGCAGTGTCTCAAATAGTGTAATCACAAAAATAGACTGTTGAACTTTGCTAATAATAATAATAATTTATTAGTATTGGTCCATTTATTGTGACAAATGTAATGTTATTTTTTTTAACAAAAGAAAGTAGGCCACAAGCTAGATTTAGTTTGTGGGTTGTAATTTGCCCAACCCTATGGTAGTCTAAACCCAAACACACTAGTATGACATTAAATGTAAATGGACTAAACACTCCAGTGAAAGGACAAAATATTGTCAGACTAAACAACACATGACCATAAAAGATATTTATAAAACATAAATCTGAAATATAGACACAAAGAAACTCAAGGATGAAAAGATAATAATATACACCAATGATAAAAAGCTATTTTGACTACATTATTAATATCAACAATGTAGACTTTAAAATAAAGGTCATCGGAGATGGCGTGAATAATTCATCAGTATGATACAATAATCCAAAACATTTATGCAGGTAGCTCTAAAATACATGAAGCAAAAACTTACCAAAGAGGGCTGGGGGTGTACCCAGCATGCTTGAGGCCGTGAGTTTGATCCCCAGCATAACCCCCTACCACCCAAAATTGACAAAATTAAAATTAAATGTCTAAATACTGACTATGCTGCTCTTACTAGTTAAAAGTTTGGGAACTGATATTTTCTTCCAGCATGAAAATTCTCATAAGAAATATTTTTAAATAAATCTTTCTTATCAATAGATTAATAGACACCTCATGTAAAAGCACTTTTTAAATTATAAAAGATGTTTAAACATATGTGACAATTTGAAATGATTTCAAATTTGAATTAGGGACTACAAATAAGAAAAAATTCAACTGTATAGATTTCATCACTAGTATAAAATGGTAACATGTATATCTAAAGTGATATTCGCTTCTAGGTCAAAAAGGAAGAAAGATGCTATTTATTATCCATCATTTCGTCTGCCCTGTGAAAAACAATAACATTTTGAGTGGAATAATCTTAATTCAGTCTAAATTTAAAAGTTCTCACCATAGTGTTAGTTCATTACAATTTGATCCTCCAACCCAAAATAGGTAACTTAAAGGGAAATTCTAAGACCCCTCCCCAAATATGTGTGTGTGTGTGTGTGTGTGTGTATATATATATATATATATATATATATATATATATATATATAAAAATATTTTAAAAATTACAATTTATATATTATATATACACATATATAGATTCCAATCGACTAATTCCATGAAATAAACCTCTAACTTTAGACAACCATATGTAGAATCAAAACATCGTATTTTCAGTATACCCATTTCTTAAAACTTCTTTCTTTTCCATATTGTCAATTTTAAGTTCTTAGATTCTTTCCTCTCAATGCTAATTAATAAAATTTCATTTTTTAGCCCAGAGAATGCTGGAGATAAAAAATCTCAGAAAGATGAGGGGAAAATGTACCTCACTGCTTTAGAGATTTGGAAAAGTAGACAATATTCTTGATTAGAAGCTTGTCCTGATAAAGAAGAGAATTGAAAATATTCACAAAACCGTCAAGCTTACTGTCCCCTGTCAAGTGTGGAGAATTGCATGAAAAGATTATAATTCTAATCTGTTTAAGGAGTCCACACTTCAACTGTGTTATAAAACATAACTTATGACTAGGTTGAATGTTGTCATTAATTATACACGGTATATGAACTATTTTAATCACAGAGGCCAACAGATAGAAACTTAACAGCTTTAGAATGCCTAATCACTCTACCTCCAATCCCAAAATTCTATAATTCCAATTGGTTGTTTTACTTCATAAATGTTTGCTCAAATAATGTTTAAATTAACATCTCTATTTCCTAAAAGGCTTAATGCCTAAGAAGTTCATTTAGGTCAGATGATAAGCTCTGGATTTGTTAAGATAGAAGGCTGCCTCAATTATTTAGCTCTTTTGTGATATCAGAGACCAAACCCAGGGCCTCACACACGCTGGACAAGCAATCTAGCTCTTCTTGAAAGTCATTTGGCAAAGCTTAAGTTTCATGAATAAAGGTCTTGCAAATCTTTTTTTAGATTAAAAAAAAAAAAGAAGAAGAAGGATGAGCTTTGAGATGTCATTTTCCCTTTATCCATAAAAAGTATAATAAAACTATGAGTGTTCTGGATTCCCTAGAGAAAGATTTTGTGACTCCAGGATGTCAGGCTTTAAAGCAGATATCTATAACCTCAAATCAGATGGCAATCCACTATTAGTGATATCTTAAATCTGTGAAGCAAACAACCTAGGTTAACCTCAAAAGACATTCCTTTCTGAAGGGTATATCAGAGATAACCTTTATGCCGTTGGTCAAGGCACCAATAAAATAGACAGATACTGTCTTATACTAAAAGTAGGACATGAGAGACCTGTCTACTCTCCCAAAGTCAATTAAATCAGAATATTTATATGAGCAGAAAAGGTCTTACATTTTCCCCATCAACTTACTAAGCATATAAACTTTACTATCTATTGAAATATTCTTCTATATCAACCAAAAGCTATTGGAATAAATATTTGCTTTTCCCCATCACTCACAAAAGCACATTTAGGACAAATTTTACATTGAAATGGTTTTTAATTCAGAGACTTAAGAGTAAAAGACAACCAATTAAATTCAGTTATTTGATTTTGCACTCAACCATATGGTTGGTAATTTAAGTTATAATTACAAAGAAGTTATTAAGAGAATGGAAATACAATATTAATTTTTAAGTGTAACATTTTGAATTAAAATGGCAGCCAAAAATTTTTCTAAAGAACAGTCTATACTTAAGATGTCAATGAAGTCTCATTTTAGAGATTAATGAAATCGCCTACATATGTGAAAATTGGCTATGTGACTATACCAAACAAGGAATACAGTTCATAGAACCCAATTCTTATGCTTATCTGATTTGCAAATTTTATTTTAAGAATTTAAAATAAGAACTAAGTAGAACAAATAAAAATAATTTTAAAAAGAATTTAAAATTTAAAAAAATACTATCCAGCATTTTGTCAATTAGCATTTCTATATTCCCACAAAATGTTTGCACTGATCTTTTACAAGAATAGCAAATCTTTTTAAAGTCTTCTAAATAAATGCTCATATTCAATATAATTTTAGTGTTAAGTACATTTTAATTTCAAAATTAATATGCAAAGTATCATCTATAACAATATACCAATTAGCCAACCAAGAACATGAAAGTTTTCTACTTTTATTTAAAAACATCAACAATAGCTTTTTCAGTACACGAAAAATCAAAAATATTGAATAATTTTAGTTTTAAACATAGTTACTAATTTGGTAGTCTAATTGGTACTTGGGAAAAAAAACAAAGGGACCACAGAATTTTAAAGAATTCATAACTAGATGAAAGCATATAGGCAGAAAAAAAACCCAAATACCAAACATGCATTTATAAAAGAGAGAACTTTCAAAGAAAAATTTAAAGAATTATGAGAATGGAGAAAAAGATGCCCATTTGTAAGAGTCCAAAGAAAGTATTATGTACTTAATGTCCTTAGTTATTCAAAATAACCAAAAAGATATCAGAATAGTTAGTAAAACAAATATGCAAGAACCAAAAATGAAGAACTGATTTTTTTAAGCACATTAGTTTTAAGCAAAGAAAACATGGCAACCTTTTCCTGGAACAAATAGCCCAGTAGCTCTCGCTCTTTTACATCATAATTTATCTAAAACAAACAACAAAAAGACAAAGAAAAAAAAGACCCAGGATCACTCAATTTGTTAAACTACCTGAAATACTATATAAAAAGTTACATAAATTTTTAGAAATTAGCATGTTAAAATACATTTATTCATTAACAGTAGTTAAAATTTCAAATATAGTCTGCTTTTTGTCCACCAACTAAAAGAAATTTTTTTCATAGAATTTTAAAGTTGAGCTTCTTTTTGCAAACATAATATTCTACTAGGATACCAAGACCTCTGAGAAATAAAGTAACTTTGCATAATGTTTTCTTCTTTTCTTGATCATGGAGATTAAAGATTGAACTCAGGGCACTTTACACTGAGCTACATTCCCAGCCCTTTTTATTTTTTATTTTGAGACAGGATCTCCTTGAGTTGCTTGGGGCCTCATTAAGATTCTGGGGGTGCTTAGTACATCTGTAATTCTAGCAGCTGTGAAGGATGCAAGTTCAAACACAGCCTCAGCAACTTAAGAGAGGCTCTAAAGCAACTTAGTGAGACCCTGTCTTTAAATAAAATATAAAAAGTTTTGGGGATGTGGCCCTGTAGTTAAGTGCTCCTAGGTTAGATACCCAGGACCAAAAACAATAACAACAAAAAAGATTCTAAAGCTGGCCTGGAACCTGCAATCCTCCTGCCTCCCAAGTCATTGGGACTTTAGGCAAGGATCCCCGTGTCCAGCTCTTGTTTAATGTTAAAGAGTGAATTACTAGCAGAGCAAATACTAGAAATCAGGCCTTCTAACTTTTCATTACTTCTTCACCTCTATATTATGACTTCAGATATCTCTTATGGTAATATAAATATCAAAGACAAATACTGCATGTACATTCTCATATATGTAAGTTTTTAAAAGTCAATCTGAATGTAGAACAGTGAGAGTTGAGAATGGGAGGGAGGGTAGGGAGGGTAGAGCATACTCAAGCACAATTAGAAGGAAGATGTTCTAGTGCTCCACAGCACAGTGGAGTGACCATAGTTCATAATAACCTATATTTTATGAAGAACTATAAGACAAGAGTTTGAAAGCTCCAAACATAAAGAAATAAGAAAACAGAAATGCTAATTACCCTGAATTGATCAGTATATACTGTACATATCTATTAAAATAAGCATACTATAACCATAAATATGTATAATTACTACATGCTAATCAAAAATTTAAGGAATTAAAATTAAAAATACATATTTGTAAAAAATACTATATTACATAGCAGGAGTCAAACCAAGTGCCTCTAGTTTGTTTACTCCTTAAAATGGTCTTATTAGCTATTCAAAAGTTTAGTCATATCACATTATGGTGAAAAAAATTCTCAATAGTGATGTAATGCAGATCTGAACTTTGAAGCTTTTAATTTGGGAAGTACAGGAAAGAAGTTTCTTAGGATTACCTTTTCCAAAGCAAACTTAGTGTTTCCTACTGAGGATAATGACAGTGTGTAAGATCCAACAAGAGCAAAGTTGCTGGTACGCACAGCATTGAGACCTCCTGGACTGGCCATAACTGTAAAGAAAGAAGAAATACAGTACAATCCAAAGTGACTTTTGTAAATATAAAGAAGAATTCCTCACCCCATCCTAACAGAATAAAATTAGATTGCCACAGAGAAAACTGCCTCATTTTCCTCCATTTTTAGATATGGGGGGGAATAAAATATCAACACATAAAATATCAACACATAAAGAAGGAAAACTATTCAGAATTTTATCTTTTTAATTTGAGGTACAGACATACCTACATTTTGAATGGTTATTTTTTAAAGACACAGACCTAAAAATGAATACATACAAAGCAATTTTCCCATAAGAAATATTGAAGAGACTTCAATTGCTATTAATCATCCAGGGTGACATAATTAAAAGCAGAGGCTATCTCTGCATAGGACTTCTTAGTAACTCCCATGCCATAAAGAAGACACTAATAACCCAAAGTAGGTGAGTAAAACAACTTCATTCTAAACCCCTATGGAAAATTTAGATATAAAGCCATTCTAGATAAAGCCTCTCCTGGCTTATTGGTGCCCCAGTTTCCAGTAAAGTAGAATGAAGCTTTTCTGACATAATACCAGTCATGATCAGTAAAGTTTAAAAAAGTAAACTCCACTACATGGCTAGCACCCAACAAATTTTAACCAACAAGAGAATTAGGAGTGAAGAGTAATGCTACCTGCTGGAATTGCCAGGTGACTATCACATGTGTACTGACACCATAGCATAAATAATGTAAAGATTGGTAGCCTATGTTGGTAACTAAGAAATGTACAACCAGACTATCTGTTATTCCAGCCAATAACCTTAAATGTTACTTTTAAAAAATACACAAAAACATTATCCCAAACAAGACCAACATAAACTCTTATAAGTCAAGATAGCCCATCCATAAATGGATATATTTATATATGTAGAAAAATGCTCATTTCTAAAGTTTCAAATAGTCCAGGATCCACTCACCAGAAGATTGAAGGTTGCTCTTCTAAAATAAATAAATAAACATATATAAAGAAGAAACATAAGTTATTTCCTTTATTTGATATGAAGATTTAAGTATTAAGTATAAAACCTTAACACTACAAAAACTACATTTCCAAAAACATTTTTTCTTATATAAATATTGAGAGCTTTCCCCCCATTAATATATTTTAAATATTTTCACAGTACTAAGGGCTTTATAATTAGCTAACCAATTTATAATCATAAGTGTAAGATGAAATTCTTCAAGAAATCCCAATTTCTTAAAATTTTACTTACTGTGGTTATGGAGGTGAGGAGTCTTTTTGGAGTAATAGCCTAGAAGAAAAAATATATTCATTTATTTCCAATTTTGTGATTCAGAGTTTAAAACTAACTTAATGTTGTATACATTCTCTCCGCCCCTGTCTCTCTCCTTTCTGGCTTCCATGTGATGATCAGGTTTCTTCCCCTTCCAACATGATGTCTTGCTCACCTCAGAGTAAGAGCAATGGAGTTAGAAATCACAAACTAAGTCTCTGAAACCATGAGCCCAGAATAAACTTTTCCTCAAATACGCAAAAAACATAAAAACTAACTTTGAGATGTTTCCACAGAAAAGTAACTTTAATTCTTTAATATGAATATATCATCCTTTATTAAAGATTGTTCCCTATTGCTATTCCTTTCTTATTAGTGCTAAAAAAACAAACAACAAAGCCTATAATTTTCATTTTTCTTCATTTTATTTTTACAACTGAAAGTCAGAAGAAACAAATTTTTAAGAAATTATGACTTAGACAAAGAACAAGAATATAGACTTGGAAAGTTAGAAACCAAGCTGGAGGTTCTGTTTCTTATTATTCTGCACAAGTAACCACATCATTCATTAAGTACTGGTTTAGAGTAATGAGTGAGATAAGAGTACAGAAGAAAGCACTGGGGAAAAGTTCTAGGTAGTTTTAAAAGTCAGCTGTCAGGTACACACAGACAAAAGAGACTTATCTAGACTGAGTATATCAGGAGCTTACACTTAAAATCATGATTACTCACTATAAATTTACTTTCAGTTTACTAAAAATTATAAATCAATTAAAATTAATAATTATTCCTGCTTAAAATATTTTTACTAGGTATCTATAATTCTCACCTTGGACTTAGATGTTTTTTTCTTCTTATCAGCACCTGAGGAATCTTTCTTCTGTACCTATACACAAACCCAAAATACAATTAGCTTGATCTTCTGTCATTAAGAAAAATATACTATTGGTTAGTTTAGAAAGTTTTAATGGCTTACCAAGCTATAAACTTCAATATTTATTTGAAAGTCATTGGACACATCTTGCCTGAAAAATAATTAAATAAAACGTTTTTTGTTTTTTGTTTTTTTAAAAAAAAAACCTAAATTGTACCTTTGCAAATGTCACAAATACTGTTGTTACAAGACTCTGAAAGTAAAGGAATCCATTGTGTTTTTTAACTAGAGACAATAAAAATGGACAAGAATAATCTGGGTGGTTTTTTTTTCCATTAATACAAGTCAGAACTTTATAACTCCAGATCTTACATAATAAAAGCAAAATTTGTTTTCAAATTAAATTTTGACTCTGTACTTTTCAAAATAAATCTAAAATCTTTCAATTGAGACTGAATATTAAGTACATTATTAGATTTAAAGCATACATAAAAAATTGTGGTCCAGATTTAATGTGTATAACACTTCAAAATATAAAATATTTATAGTCACATGGAAAAAATGTGCTACTCACTAGAAACATGAGAAACATGTAAAAAAGTAAAACCAAAAAGAGGCAGGATATACAGTTCAGTAGTAGAGCATTTGCCTAGAATGTATAAGGTCCTGGCTCAATCCCCAATACCACCAAAAAAAAAAAAAAAAAAGGAAAACTGAGTTATTTGTCCACATTTTAAAGATTATTAAGGGCTGGTGAGTAACTCAGTGGTAGAATACATGCACAGGCCATGGGTGGGGAGGAGGGTACTATAAATGTCACCTGCATGCTTAGTCTACATTAATTTAATTAAAAGAAAATATGTCTGAACCACAAAAAGACTAATTTACTTACAAAGTAAATGTAGTAGTGAATGTCAGAGCATCGCCATTAAGAGAGTTTGAAGTACTTGCTAATGGTGTGGCTACCATATTTTCAGCTCCTGCTTTTAGCATAATTAAGTAATAGTAATTTGCTGCATCTGTAAGAAATAACACATTACATAATTAGCACAAGTAATATCAGATTTAGTTAACTGGCATTCTGGAAGACCAAAGTAATAAAGTCATATGGCAACTGACTTACATAAAGTTTGCATTTAAAATCAATAAAAATTAATTTTCAGAAACAAAAAGTAAGATATAATCTGACAGCTATAATCTTGGAATAAATATCATCAAGGTCTCTTCCAATTATGTAAGTTGAAATAACTTTACTCCACATTACTCAATTTTTGCTTACTCTGAATTTTACTTAATGACCCCTAATTCTTTTGCTAATACTATATACCTCCAAAGGATAAATTATGGTTTATTATTTCAAAACTGGAATTAAAATAATATGAAAGTTACACTGTGACAAATTCTAATAAAAACCTTAACTATTATTTCACTATTTATCATTAAATAATCACATATGTCAAGATCCATACTAAATTATCAGTTGTTTTTTGTCCACAATATATCAAAATCAGAAAACTACAACAATTAGAACTGAAATTAGCTCATTCCTACAATAACACTCACACTTTTATTTTACTCTCCAAATACCTCAAATTCACTTCTCACCTATGGCTAGTCTTCTGTTTCCTCAAAGAGAAAAGTTCTACACACATTAAAATTTAAAAGAACCCTGATGTTTATCCAACATTTAATAAAATTTTAAGCTTACTATACTTATACATCTCTCTTTTCAGATTCTACTGTCATATTGCCCTGGTATCCACTTGGCTCAGAAAAAAATTTTACTAGAATACATATTTTTTAAAGTTTATAGTGATTATTCAATCCAGAGGGCAAAGGAAATATTTCAATAGAAGAATCTCCACTGAGGCACTCATGACCCACACAATAGTAATTCAGAATTTATAAAACAATGAAGTAAATTTAAAATAGAATACGGTAAGCAAAATAAGTTCTTTGAAATGTTCCAGTACATTTCTACAATAAAATTAATTAATAAAAGTCAAATGGTCTGCTCTGTCATCTTCAGAAAATATTTTACGTCTAAATTTACATTTAGCCTTACTTATAAATAGGCCTATATCCATTATTGTACAGACTGGCAACCTTAGTTATCAAATATTCCCTTATTTTTTTATACACATTACCTTTAAAAAAAAAAAACTTTCCAGAATCAATTTTAGTGTTTAAATCACAACACATAATTTTCTAAAAATAAATTTTGAAGGCATATGATAATCATTTAATCTCTTTGCTCTTGTTAGATACACAAAACAGTAGAGTGTATTTTGACATTCTAATTAGGATCCATTCTTGTGGTTGAACATATGTGGAGTTTCACTGGTTGTATATTCATACATGAACATAGGAAAGTTATGTTCAATTCATTCTTATACATACATGTTGATAAAAGAATCTTTGAGGTTCAAAAAACAAGCTTTGCTTCTTTATACATGTGCTACTTGTACCTTATACAAATTCAATCTAAGTGAAGTTCATAATTTAACATGCTGTTGTTAATGGGAAAAAAAAAAATCACAATACCTGGCTTCTGAGCTGTACTGCACACAAAATCTGCTTTTAGAGGCAAGCGGATCTCTGACAAAGTAACTGATCCTTTGGATGGGACAAATTCACTCTGGAATATGGAATCAGCCTTATTCTTCCTCTGAGGCCCTTCATTCTTCAGTTTATTCAGCTGATCAATCAAAAGCGTTCTCTTCTCAGCTAAGTAAAAATAGCGAGTGAATATCCCAATTCAAGAAAACACACTGATGTGGCAATTGTACATAAGACCAGCGATAAAATCAATAACTCTTTTGTGATAAATGTTTGGTAAAATCTCAATTGTTCATCTATTTTACCAAGTCTTAATTTAATTCTTCAACTTTTGACCATCTTTCTGGTGTGGTATCATCTTTCCAATCGAACACACTTTGTCATTATCACAAACATACACAGAGAGAGATGGACACATAATATGTGTATATATACCACACACACACACACACACACACACACACACACACACATACATTTAGGATATTCTAATTCCAGTTACCTTTATCTTTCATGCAAATTTCATTTTATTTTATATGGAAAATAAAACTTTATAAGAAACAAATAACAGATCAAATGAAACAGCTGGGTGTAGTGGTATATGACTGTAATTCCAACAACTTGAGAAGCTAAGGCAGGAGGATCACAAATTTGAGGCCAGCCTCAGCAATTTAGCAAGACCCTAATAAGCAACTTAGTGAGAGTCTGTCTCAAAATAAAAATATAAAAGGCTGGGGATATAGCTCAGTGACAAAGTGCCTCTGGGTTCAATCCCCAATACCAATAAAAAAGAGAAAAGAAAGTCTTTTCTTTAAAATTAGAGATTTCTTAAGTCAAACTCAGAAAGTTAAGGGTACTGTGTTTTCTCTCATACGAAGAAGCCTATAAGGAAAAAAGGAAATGAAGATGGGGAAGACCCCATGAAAATGAAAGGGAGCATAGTAGAGAAAAGGGACCAAGGGGTAGAACGAGGGGAGACAAAGGGGCTAAGTACTGTGAAGTGATAGTAGCCAAATTATATTGTTAAATTGTATATTGTATGAATATGTAAAAACAAATTCCATCAATATGTACAACTATAATGTACCAATTTAAAAAATGGGGAAAAAATTAGAGATTTCTGAATATACCAGAGGAAATAAGTTTTCCCTGATTAGTGACATTTTTTTAATTTTTCAGGTATATCACACATACTTGCAATTAAAAGAAGTCTTTCTGCTTCAGCTTCTTCTAGGGACCCTTTCCCATGCTCTTCATCAACACAACAGTTAAGAGCCTGGCTAGCTTGATAGATCACTGTCTGCTGCAAATTTATTTCATTATTGAGTTCCTAGAGAAACATAAATGAGAGGAGGGAAAAGTACACATTTTAATCATCATTTTCAGTTTATTTAAGCTTGAATTCTAACTAATGTAATTGGGTAGTTTCCAAATTTTTCAAAGAGTAAAATCAAAAGGTTAGTTTCACTGCTCAGGTTTCTAGACTATGTACCAAAACCATTTAATAAATAAATTAAACTATAAACACTTTTTCCAGTAAAAGACTCTATCCAACAAGGTAGAAATGAAGAAAATATTTTCTTAACATAAAAAGAATACTTGAGGCACCAAATAAATTTCAAACTTTACCATCATCCAATTAATAGCTATAATTTAAAGATATTTGTAACCAACATGTTTTAAAAGAAAATTTCAGAGTTGGAATGTAGCACAGTGGGAGAATACTTCCTCTATTCATGAAGCCTTGGGTTTAATCCCTAGCACTGCAAAAAATAAAAATTAATAAATATTTCAGCAATATGAAACAAGCTTCTGACTTTTCCAAAAAGAGTATCTTTGGGAAATTAAACCAAATTCAAGAGAGATTTACTTAGCTCCTGTGTCAGATACTCTTCTATTCATTTAAGGTATAGAAAGGAAGAAAACTGGGCCATTGACCTCAAAGAATTCACAATCCAGTGCGAGAAACATCCTAAATCCCCTTTCTCTGGAAGTGCATACCTGCATTTTCTGTTTGATATTAACTTGACCTGAAAAGGCATTCTTTTTTTCATCTAATTTTGAAGTAACATCTTCTTTCCGAACAATCACTTGCTTTATGGAAGGACGGTCTGTTTCTTTGAATCTTTGAGACCTATATGCATCAATGCTTCAGGAAAAGTTAGACTCTGTTAGAAATCCAGCATCACACTGAGCTTTATCCATTATTGAACATGTCAACAGAATTTGATAAAATTAAACATATCAGCAGAACATTTCACCACCATGGAAATGCCATTTGGTGAATGAGACTGAAAAGTTATTCCAAATTTTTATACAGGTAAGTTATTAATAACATTATAAATATAAATTGTAATACAACTTATGTATTGTATCTAAACCGTGAACTTGAGTGAACCAATACCTTCCCCAAATCACCTTACCTATAAAGAAGATCACGATCTTCAGAACCAATGCTATCACCAGATTCAGCTCGAGGAACACGGGTTCTCTGGAACTTTCCTGGTTTTGGACTCTCATCGCTTGTATGAGTATCTCTCAATTCCAATTTAGGTGAGGAAACTAAATTCTGCAGGAAAGCACATCAGATATGGGTAGATTTTATGGATGATTAACATTGATTCTAAATGATAATTCATTTAATTCTAAAAAGAATGAATTCTTCATTATTAGGAAATAAATATTCAACAAGTCAACTGACTCACTATAAAACCAAAGGACTTTGAAAATAAATTCCTAAAAAGAAAATGAATAATGGTTCAAAGATAAGTGAAACCTACATTGGTAACTTTTTAAAAAAATATGTTAATCAATGTCCAGAGCTGCAGTTATCCAATTTAGGGTGACAGCTAATGATAGTAATTAGCTCTCAATGAATGTTAGTTATGTCTGGTGCTAAACACTAATATATTAACATAATTTAATATTCACATCAACCCTCTGATATAAGTACTATTGTAAACCTCATTTAATGAATGAGGGAACTATTTGAAGAGAGGTTAAATAACAATAAATGTCAGAGCCAAGATTTATAACCAATGTCTGCCCTTGTAAGCCATATTACTATTTGGAGATTAAGAAAAACAGCAAAATACTGAAGAGTTTTAATCTCTTCAGAGAATGTTCATTAGTTTTACAAAATCTCCTTAACTACAAAGTGCCAAATCCCCAATAAAGCAGGATGGGAGGATCTAATATTAACTCATTTATTTTTGTCATGGGCCTGTTTACATTTAGTCTTTTCTTACCTCTGGACTTACCACACCAACTGTCTGTGCTAACGGAGCAAGTAAAGACATTGAGGAGATATTCAGTGCATCTTCCTGCTCTTCATTGCTTTCTGCTTCTGCTTGATCCATCTCCTCTTGACTCTTTTCCATATCTAGCTCACCTTCTTCAAGGACATCACTGAAGATATCATTAATTACTTTTGAACTGTTGATATCATCCTCATCATCCACACTCAACTCAATTTCACGTACCACTTCTGAAAAATATGAGTGGATTCCATTTAAGGCTTTAAGAAGAGAAAGCAAAGGAGATCTAACATTCATGTGCTTACTAAATAAACACGACAAAAAAATGCTGAGGAAAAGCACTTCTCATTTCAACAAAATTCTACTAACAAATGAAACAAAGAAATTTTTCTAAGTTCAAATAACATTTTATAAGAAATGAAGGTTGAGTCCATCAAAAGCTGATTCAATGCCTTGGATTTAGTAGAGAATATTAAATTTAAGAACTCAAATTATAGGATAATATACAAAAGATTCAGACTTTCAAAACATGTTCTTTCAAATGACTTTTTTCATATTGGTGCGGGTTGCTTTTTCACCTGGGTGACAAAAATAGGCAAACACTAATGTCACATAGGGCAGTTCTAAAATAAGCCTTCGGGGCCACTAAACTCCCTAATAGCACCTGCAGAATATGGCAGTCCCATTCCCTATGAAAGTGAATGGCAGTCCTAAACAGATTTTCACAGGGGTGAAACAATTACCTAACAATTACTGCTAATAATACCACAGAGATTTTTGTGGAAGCTAGATATATCCTAGTTTTTTTTAAAAAAAAAAAAGAATATTATAAAATCACATTTTTAAAATACAGGACACTGTATATTTGAATATGTAATTCTAATATATTAATTTTTATAATGTGGCCAAAGTTATAAGAAATAAAGAATAGTGGTACATATACACAGTGGAATATTATTCAGCTATAAATAAGAATGAAATTATGGCAAAGGTCGAATGTTCCCTCTGACATGCAGATGCTGACTCACAATAGGCTAGGGGGTGGGAGGTAGAGGTTCACCAGATTGGACAGGGAGGAATACAGTAAAGGGAGGGAGATGGGAATGGCAAAGACAATAGAATGAATCAGACATAATTTTCCTACATTCATATATGAATACACAACCAGTGTAACTCTACAACATGTACAACCACAAGAAAGGGAAGTTATACTCCATGCATGTATGATATGTCAAAATACACTCTACTGTCATGTGTAACTAAAAAGAACAAATAAAAAATTAAAATTAAAAAAAAAAATGAAGAATAAAAACCAACCAGTCTTCTGTTCAACCTTTGGGTTTGATGTTGTTACTTTTAAGGACTTTTCCTCTTCTAAAAACAATGTTATTTTCAAAGGACTAGACTTCGTCATTTTGCACTCGGTAGAACCTAAAACAATTTTTGAGAAAGACTGCATTAAAAGACATAACAACCTAGAATTTTTAAATTAAGGAATCATCTTTTTATTATAAAACTATGCCTTTAAGATATTCAAATGTAGAAATATGGAGAGAACCTTCTAAATATACCTGTCCTCACTTGACTTTCCTATCTCTTCCTCCCAACTGAGATAAAGAAAGGGGACACCAATATTACCAGGTTATTGTTTTTTTCATTCAGTTTTCCCTGTATGTAGAAATGTGCATATCTTTTATTTTATTTTATCAGAAGGTGATCATACTATACTGTTTTGCAATTTTTCACCTTTTAAAAAAGTGTCAATAAAAATCACTCAAAAACTAGGACTAGAAGAAATCTACTTGCTTCATAATAAAGTCCACAGCTTTATTACAACTTTATTTACAGGCAAACACCTGTAAACCCAAAGACTCAGGAAGCTGAGGCAGGAAGATCTTGAGTTCAAAGATAGTCCTCAGCTACTTAGCAAGGACCTAAGCAACTCAGTTAGACCATGTCTCTAAATAAAATATTAAAAAAAGGCTGGGGATGTGGCTCAGTGGTTAAGCACCTCTGGGTTCAAGACCTCACCAGTACAGGGGAAAAAAAAAAAAAAAGGTCCTCAGTCAAAATTATACTCAATACTCAATAGTCCTCTAAGATTAGCAACAAGGCAAAGATGACTGCTGTCACTACTTCTATTCAACAGAGCATTGAACATTCTAGCCAAAGCAATTAGGTAAGAAAAAGAAAATTATATACATCCATATTACAAAGGAAGAAGTAAAATTATCTCTATTCACAAATGATAGCATCTAATATATTGAAAATCCTAAAGATTCTATCACACCAAATAAAAAGAAAAAACTGTTAGAACTAATAAGTGAAGCAAAGTCACAGGATACAAAATCAATGCATAAAAATCAGTTGAGTATGTATACAGAAACAGTGAAAAATCCGAAAAGGAAATTTTGAAAACAAATCCATTTACAATTATGCCAAAAAAGAATAAAATGCTTAGAAATAAATCTAACCAAGTTGTTGAAAGGCTTATACTCTGAAAATATAAAACATTGCTTAAAAAGAATTTAAGGAAGACACAAATAAAAGGAAAGACACCCATGTTCATGGATTAGAAGATTTAATATTGTTACTATGTCAGCATTATCCAAGTAACCTATAGATTCAGTGCAATTCCCATCAAACCCTAATTAGCATATTTTTCAGATATTAAAAAACAAAGCTATATCCTAAAATTCATAAGGAATCTAAAGGGAACTGAATATCCAAAATATTTTTTAAAAAGAACAGAGCTAGAGGATTCATACTTCTTGATTAAAAATTTATTATAAATCTACAATAACCAATGCCCTATGGTACTGGCACAAAGACAAACATACAGATCAACAGAACAGAATAGGTGGCTGAAGTTGTACCTCAGTGGTAGAGTGCTTGTCTAGCACATATGAGGCACTGGGTTCAATCCTCAGCACCATAAAATAAATAAATAAGTAAAGGTATTGTGTCCATCAACAACTAAAAAAAAAAAAAAAATTAAAAAATAGAACAGACTAGAGAACACAGAAATGAAACTTCATATATATGATCAAATGATTTTCAAAAAGGGCATCAAGAGAATTCAAAAGGAAAAGAAGAGTTTCTTCAAGAAACGATGCTAGGAAAATTGGATATACACATGCAATACAATGAAGTTAGACTCTTACAACACACTTAAAAATTAACTCCAAATAGATTAAAGACTGAATGTAAGACACAAAAGTATAAAATTTATAAAAAGAAAACAGGAAAAAAGCTTTACAACATTGGATTTTACAATATTTTCTTGAACATAAACCCAAAAGAAGACAATAGCAACCCTCCCCCCACAAAATCAGATAGATTGCATCAAACTTAGAAACTTTTGTGTGTCAAAAAATATAATCAACAGATGCAAAAGGCAACCTATGGATTAGCAGGAAATATTTACAAATTATATATCTGAGGAAGGGGTTAATATTCAGAATGTATAAATAACTTCTATAAGTCAATAACAATATATCAAAGGATTATAAAATAAGAAAAGGATTTGCATTACATATCTCCAGAGATGAATTCAATTGATCAAAATTGAATGGAAAGATGTTAAATATCACTATTCAGAGAAATACAAATAATAACCACAATGACATATCACCCATATCATCATTAAGATGACTGTTATTAAAAGAAAAAAGAAAAGAAAGGAAAAATACTTCAAAATAGAAAATAACAAAGCATTGGTAAGAAGTGGAATAACTGAAGACCTTGGGCGCTCTTGGTGGGAATATAAAATGGTGCCACTGCTATGGAAACAATATGGTGATTCAAGATCAGTCTCTGCAACTTGGTGAGGCCCATAGCAACTTAGTGAGACCCTGCCTTCAAATTTTTTTTTAAATATTTATTTTTAGGTGTAGATGGACACAACACAATGCCTTTATTTTTAAGTGGTGCTGAGGATCAAACCCGGGTCCCACCCGCGCTAGGTGAGTGCTCTACCGCTGAGCCACAATCCCAGCCCCAGCTGCCTTCAAATTTAACAAAAAATAAAAAAGCCTGGGGATATAGCTCAGTGGAAAAGTGCCTGGGGTCAATCCCCAGTACCAAAAAAAAAAAAGCCAAATGTCTTCTTTGATATAAGGAGAACAACTAAGAACAGAGCAGGGAGGAAGAGCATGAGAAGAAGATTAACATTAAACAGGGATGAGAGGTGGGAGGGAAAGGGAGAGAGAAGGGAAATTGCATGGAAATGGAAGGAGACCCTCACTGTTATACAGAATTACATATAAGAGGAAGTGAGGGGAAAGGGAAAAAAAAAACTAGGGGGAGAAATGAATTACAGTAGATGGGGTAGAGAGAGAAGATGGGAGGGGAGGGGAGGGGAGGGGGGATAGTAGAGGATAGGAAAGGCAACAGAACACAACAGACACTAGTATGGCAGTATACAAAAAAGTGGATGTGTAACCGATGTGATTCTGCAATCTGTATATGGGGTAAAAAATGGGAGTTCATAACCCACTTGAATCAAATGTATGAAATATGATATGTCAAGAACTATGTAATGTTTTGAACAACTAATAATTAAAATTAAAAAAAATAAAAAATAAACAGTGCTATCTCTTTGTACATATAGCTCTGCCTCCTAACTAGTTCAGGATTTAATCTCCCAGAAACACTTGCAGAAAAGCTGAATTAAAGAGCAATTCAATATGTATTATTGAATGTTTCTCCCAAAAAAGTTGTAGAAATAACACTCTCATCAACAGTATATGAGTTCTTAATCTAGAAAGAGAACTAAAGGGGAAATCCACTGAATGCTTAGAAATGAAAAAGTAAGTTAAAAGGAAGAAATTAATATCTTTAAAAAAGCAACACTTTTGCTTTCTAATCCAATTGCCAAATCAATGGTAGACTGGAAGATACATTTTAAATGAATTAGAAATGAAAAAACTGACCTGTAGGTTCTGTAGTAGAGGTTTTTGCTGGTATCTGATTTTCTGTCACCTTGTCTGGAAGTGAGTGGGTATTTGAGACTACTTGTTTCTTGAGGGGAGTGTTCTGACAGTGAATTTCCTGCAAAAATAAAATAAAGAGGAATATTTTATTTTTCAAAACTGTAATTTTATCTTTTATAAAGTGTAATTGTATATTTTTATAAAATCTTATAAAATTATTAAATGAAATAAGACTATTATTAAATATTATTCTATATGTTACCTCAGAATAAAAATGACAATGTATATAAAAAGGTCCAGATTAGCTCAAGTCCTCAGTGCTAGTTTAAATTCTTGTTAATTCCCAGTATGTAAATCTTTTTTAGAGACTAGGAGGCAAGAGGGAATTACAATTTGCATCAGAGTTCAGTTTTACATAGAAATTAAAGTGCAAACCATGCAAAAGGATAAACAATTCCCACTATGTCACTTATCTCAATCCATACCTAAAAAATCTGGTGGCGGTTCCTATATCAGGATTCCACTTAACAGTTACTCAAGAAGGTAAAATTCAGAGAAAGCAGAAAGGACAAAAACATCACAAAGTAAAAGGAGAGAAGAAAAAAAAAAAAAAAAAAAAACCCTGCATCTGAGTCTTTTTATCATGAACAAAGTCATAGAAGATAAATATTCATTTTTTGTTTGTTTGAAGACTTTCCAATTAAAGCAATAACAGAAACAACCAAATATTGCCTTGCCCGATTCTCCCAATAACCCTCGTAGCTATGTCCTATTACCTCCATTTTATAAGTGAAAAAACCTTAGGCACATAAGAGTTAAGTAACTTTCACACACAGTGACTAGCAGTGCCAGTGCCCAAACTCAGTATCCTTGTTCAGAGCTACTTATATAGTTCAGAGCAGACTATATTTGTTCTGTATATTAGAAGTTTTGGATGTACAAAAACAAAGTAAATTCTCAAATATATATTGCAGACTGTTTTAACCACAGACAAGGAGTCTGACAAGGGGAAAACAGAGATAGGGCAAGAACATTTCAGAAGTGAGATGAATGGGCTGAGACTACCTTTAGAGTAAAAAGCTTATATACAGTAAACACTCAAACATTTATGGAGTAAATGAATAAACCAACCACTTGGTAATAATGGAAAGCAACCATACTAATTCTCAAAGGCTTAAGTAAAAGCTTTAAAAACATAAAGCCAAACATAATCACTATACCCCTCTTCCCTTTATGGTGGCTCACTGCCTGACAATAAACACAGCACTTAGAGTGCAAGGTTCTGGGGTCAGGTCTTGTTTTCTAGAAACCTTGGTGTCAGTACTTAACAGTGGAACCATTCTTGGACAAATGATTTACTTACCTCAACTTTAGTCCCTTACCCAGAAGAAGGAAAATAACTTCAGTATTATTGTGAGGATTCAATGATACAATGTAATAAAGGTATCCAAACATCTGGCATCTTGTAAGCATTTAATAAATATTAACTATTGCAATAATCTTATCACCTTCATCTTCTTCTCTTCTTTATTAGTGTCACCTGTATACTGTTCTGGACTTTGTTTGCAAGTCAAACTCTGCCTGCATGGCCCTCTTCAAAAACCTTTTAGCGTATCCAAACAATCCTCTTTCATAACAAACACCCTAAATCTTTATCTCCTTCACTAAATATTCCCTCCACTTTCATTCTAATTAAAAAAAAAAAAACAAAAAACTTACTCTCTGGTAAAAACAGGACTTAACCTACAACATCTGAAATAAAAGTAGTTCTCTCCCCTAAACCCTGACAACATGACAATAGCCTCCTCATTAGTTCTTAATGTTTCCATGATATTAACTCTTTTTTAAGTTGCTTTTTTTAGGGGCTTGGGGTTGGGGGGATTGAACCCAGGAGTACTTTACCACTGAGCTACATCCCCCAATTCCTTTTATTGTTTTTATTTTGTGACAAGATTTTGCTAAGCTACTGAGACTGGCCTTGAACTTGCCATCTTCCTGCCTCAGCCTTTTGAGTCACTGAGATTGCAGGTATGCACCACTGTGTCCAGCTTTAACCCTTTTAAAGCTCTTATTCTTTGAGACTAGCCATTTGGTTATAGTGTACTCTCCAGCCTCTCAATCCCAACTCATTAGTATCAGTTAATACAAGAATCTCTCCCCTGCATTCTCCAACACATCTCTAGTTCAAAACCTGCCATCATCAAGATGACATCAGAAGCCACAGGGCTATCCAAATAATAAATACCTCAGCCTCTCAACTGCATGAACACTTCAACTCCAGATACTTTTACTATTGCTCTAATGCCATCACCTGAAATCTATTTGTGCTTCTCTGAAATCCCAAACCCAAATATCTCACCATAACCACATCTCCAACCTCTCTAGTCCTCTTGCTTAGGAATTATAAGATCCCATTCTTTGGTGTCATAGATACCTCTGGTTATTTGATGCTTTTCTTCCTTTCATCTCTACCTAATTTCTTATACCTTCATCCAGGATAGATCTAATGACCCTTCATTGAAACTATTATCCTACCAGTATATTCAATTTCCTTAACTTAAGCATACTTCCATTCCTCTTGTCTGATAATATCTCAATCCTGGAACAACCCAACTTCTCTAAATCTCTATCCAGGCTCTTTTGACATACCTAGAGAAAATTCACCTATGGAGTTTTTGGTTCCACTATAAATTTATAGTCTCAAACTGGGCATAGTGGCACATGCCTGTAATCCCAATGACTTTGGAGGCTGAGGCAGGAGGATCACAAGTTCAAAGCCAGCCAGCAACTTAGTGAGGCCCTGAGCAACTTAGCAAGACTGCTTCAAGATAATAAAGAAAAAGGGTATGGATGTGATTCAGTGCTTAATCACCCTGGGTTCAATCCCTGGTAAAAATAAAATAAAATAATAAATAAATTTATGTTCTCACATCACATCTAAGTCTCAACAGTACTCCCTATTTTTTGTTTCTCTGTTAGCCCTCTCTTCCACCATCCTGTAAGTACTACACCTATTACCTTTCCTTCCTATACTTGATCTTAGCAAAAGGCTGGGAAGTGGTCACCTTCTTTTTCTTAACAATGAACAAAATAGGCACTATCATACAGATAGTCCATCAGTTTTCTGCCATCATGATCCTAAGACCACCAGTACCTGGAGTTTCACCACTTCTTTATGTATGTATGCATGTATGTATTTTTGTAATGCTGAGGATTGAACCCAGAACCTCACACACGCTAGGCAAAAACTCTACCACTGAGCTATACCCTGCAGCTCCACCCATTTCCTTTTTATCACACAAGATTGTTCAAATTGGTTCTGTTCCCATCACTGTGCTCCAAGTTCATTCACAGTCACCTCTCTCCCTTCAATCTTCTTAACTTCTCTAACTTTTTGCTTGCTACTAGGTATTTTACATTGACACAAAAATTGACTTGAGTCTCAAAAAGCCAGAAAACAAACACAAACTGTACCTTGCTTCTTCCTCCCCTCCGGCACCAACTGCCTTCTCTCTCCCCTTTAGAACCAAACTGCTAAGAACTGCCTACACTCACTGGTTCTACTCTTCACCTCCTCAGTTCTCCTCAATCTATTACTACGGCATTTTTCACCACTTCACCAAAACTGCTCCAACCACATCACAACAAACTTACTTCAAACCCCAGTAAACTTGATTCAACCCACACTTGACAATACTGACCACGCCTTCCCTCCCCAAGCTTTCCTTCTTCATTTGACTTTAACACTGTACTCAATTACATTTTCCTCCTATCTCTTTGCTGCTTCTTTTGTGGAAAGGAGAGCCCTGAACTCCCTATTACTATGTTCAGAATTTTGTTCACCTATATATGCCACTGTCTGGGGAGGAATTTCATAGGCTTAATGGAATTATGTAGTACAAAATAGTTAAGAACCATTGGCCTATACTCTCCAAAGAATGGGAGGAAAACCAAGAGAATATACATAATGGCAGGTCTTCAAAGAAAAGATAATCAAAAATGTCAAATGCCAATAGGTCAAGCCAGAAAAAAGTGGGGACTGAAAGTGATCACTGAAGATCACAAATGGGGAGGGGATAGTGGCAAGAGCCTAAGTGGAGAGACCTTAAGTCAGGAGAGAAGAAAAAAATTGGAGACAGTACTCTGTGAATAGTTTGCATCCAAAGGAGGCAAAATAGTGAGGAGCATAGAGGACCTGGAGAGGTGTTATAAGATAACAGCAGCCCATTGTATGCTGGTGACAAGGATCAGCACATTCTTTCCTTCCTTCCTTCCAATTCAAACTTATGGCACTCCTACTCTCTGCTTACTCCTACTCCAGACAGAAAGAACAGGAAGATAAAGGTAGAGAGAGATCTGAAAAATTGGGTACATTTGAAAAACTGCAAATACTCTGTATGACAGGGCTGAAGCACATCTCTGGAAGAGTAGGAGAAAGAGTCCAGCAAGAAGTGACACATTTCAAACCAAGCTGTTCAAGCATTTTTCTCATGATATTTATGGGGAGCTTCCCCAAATTTTAAGCAAGGGAATACATGAATATTTGCCTTTAAAAAATATTTCTCTGGCAGCCATGAGGAAGAAGGATTAGAGAGTAGCCAAATTAGAAACAGGGTGTCCAATACAAAGCTTATAACTGGACATATGTGTTTATGTGCATGTGCAATAAGGGCAAGCAGATGGGAAGGCACAAATAAAAAAGGGGAAGAAGCCAAAGATCTTCTAGATTTATTTTTTACATGATGAAATATAGAATAAAACAATAAGAAGACAAAGACTACCAGGAAAAGGTTTTGCAAAGAATTACTAGACGATCAAGCCTAGAGTTCAGGAGTGAGATAAGCACATAACAAAGCTGAGCTCATCAGCATTTTTGCCTTTGGCTGAATTTAGATGGGACAGGGACTTCCCAGGGCAAATAAGAGGGGGAAAAGAGGTTGAGGTCAAAACTCTGGGAAGGTCACTTATTAAGCAAGAAAACTGATAAAAAAAACAAAATCAAGCAGGTAGACCTTTCTCAAAGAATGCTGATTACATTTGTACTTCGTTTGTCCCTACCATGTTTCTACTAGCTCAAAATATATTCTAACACAATACCTTGTACGTAGTAGGCATGTAAATAAAATAGAATATAGTCTACATTTAAGTCAGCTTTTGTTGAAGACTGAAATTTGATAAGAATAAAGAAAAATTGGGAAGGTATGTGTTAACAGAAAGAATTACAGATCATATAACTATGGTATTTTGAGAGAGGTAAATAGTCATCAATGACAAAAGTAGATTCTGGAAAACATTTTGGAACCAGCATCTCAGGAGAATTAACTATCTAAAATTGAATGGTGAAAATAATTTTTTATTTGATTTTAAGGTCATCAGTGAATATGGTAGAGTTCCCCTGAAAGAGAAAATATCGTAAGAAAAGTAAAGTTGTTATGTACATTTAAGCGGTTTATGAAAGGAAAGTGTCTAAGCGGTTTATGAAAGGAAGGTGTCACACTTAATTGAACAGGAAAGTGTGTAAAAAATTTTGTTCTACAATACAGAACTACAAATTAGATACCAACACTACTTAGGTACCAAGTTCGATTTTATCTTTTGTTTACAATACCTGCTTTGTTTCTAGTTGTTTGCTCCTCGAGTTTTCGCCTTTTTCTGTACTCCATAAATTGCCCTTGTCAAATCGGCCACGAAGACATGCTAGTTCCTTTTCACGTTCCTAAACCCATCAAAAGTAGTATTTTACACAAGAGCCAGTTTAAAAATTTTAAAGTTCACATTGCAAATAGAATAGACAAAATTTCCAATTTGCAAAACATGGCACAGAAGATCAAGATGCTATTTATCTCAGGTAAAAAGACTGGTAACAGAATTCACATCTTGATTTCTAGGTTCCATGCTGAGACCATGCAATAAAAAACGTTAAATCCAACAAGCCATACCTGCTTGAGCTGTTGGGCTAAATGGGTAGTAGATGAACATGCGTTTTGCTTAAATAATCTTTCTTGAATGGCCTTTGTATTTGGAGTGATAACGTAAGTTCTCTGGGGTGTGCTATGAGAGGGACTTTCTTTGCTGTGTTCTTGACAACGCTCTCCAAAGCGTTCCAGAAAAGGCTTAATTCCTCTTCCTCCTACAGACAACATACACATTTTTGTAGGCTACTCAAAATAAGTCATAATTATAATTTCTATGGGAAAAGTTATAAATCCATTATAGTTACAATATGCTTTGATTCTATTAGGAACCTAAATTCACAAAGAAAATATTCACAGAATTACTGTATAATTCTATTTAATTGCATGTCCTTAAATTAGAATTCAGTTCTTTAAAAGAGGAAAAAAAAAATAAAACCAAGAATTTTGGACTTGGGATATTACTCAGTAGAACACTAGCCTAATACAAACAAGGCCCTGGGTTCCATTCCCAGCACCACAAGAGGAAAAAAAAAAATTAAGAAGGTAGAGTAAAAGGGCAGTGAGGATTAGAAAATTCTCAAATGAAACAATAATAATTTAAGTGGTCAGAAGTAAACTACATATAAATTAATAAATCTCCCTTAAAAATAAGTGTCCTGACCATTATACAATAATAACTTCTAACTACTTACATTTCTAGAGTTCAATTTATTTTATATTTCTCTTACAAGTCTACTACATGAAAATCTGCAGTTCCCCCCCACCAACCAAAAGAAAAATTATGAATTATCCAACTCAACAAAGGGATGTCTTGATTTTACAAAGTCTTAAAACAGTACTTTTTTGAAAGAGTATGTTACATTTATAGTAGGGCAAATGATGTATATGTGACCTCCTCCATCATATAAAAATAAGCTTATTTATGTCAAAGGTTAGTAAATAATTTCCTATAAATCATCAGAGTAAATATTTAGGTTTTGTAGCCCACGTGACCTCTATTGCAACTATATAATTCTTCATTATAGCATGAAAGCAACCACAGGAAAATCTGTTAACAAAAGGATTTGGCATTGTTCCAAGAAAACTTTCTTTGTTTTTTTTTTTCTAAAAAAAAGGGCAAAATTTGTCTGTTGTCATACTTTGAGGACTCCACCTGTCACTTATTACCACTTTGTACCATATCTCAAACTAGAGTCCATTATGAATACAAAGAAACATCTAAATTAAATATCTCTAAGGATCTGGTAATGTGATTCTGATTACACACAGTAACTAAGAATATAAAAAGAATGCTTCTTATCTAAGCCTGAAGTTTTAGGAAACTGGAATTAACTAGTCCTATTCCATGTGAAGATATTGCTTTCAATTCCTCTTTTTTTGGGAGTATGGGGCTGCTGGGGATTGAACCCAGGATCCTGTACATGCTAGGCAAGCACTCTACCTTTGAGCTATCCCCTAACCCCTTATTTCTAATTTTCATTTTAGTCCATCTGGAAACTCGCTAATAATTTCTACTTACTCCATTCATCTTTCTGTCTACTTTCCCTTTAGGATAACTAGTTTCTGGGAAGATTTTATTTTTCAGATTAAAATAATCTTTCCAATGAAAAAAGAATATAGTTCAAAGTCAATACTATCACCATTTATTTGCGCCATATTGTTCAGTTGTGCATTTCTCAACCAACAATATGTGAATTGTGCCAGAAGATATATGTTTAACATAATATAATAGAGCATTTCATGGAGTATCAGTTTACTACGGTAAGAAATACAAACTTCTATTTGCATGCATTCACACACAGTACACACATATGTAAAAATAACTGAGAGTGATGTCATTTGTATGCACACTCACTTCTCTGTTAGGGTGACTTCACAATGAAAGTTGAGAAGCACTGCTCTGCACACCTGGTTACAAGAATGTTTTTTCATTTTGCCCCTAAAATGTGGTTCCCAGTTACATATGCTTTTCTGCATCCAAATTAGTTTTAAAAGTCCAAATTAGTTTTAAAAGTATCTAACAGGATTATCCCAGGAAAAGCCTGTTTAAACTGTTAAAATGTAACAAGACAAAAACTATGACCAATTAATAGGCTAGTAATGAATAGTCATTCAATCAATTAAAGCTCAATAAGAAGTCTTAGAATGTTTGGGCACTTGCCATGGCAAACCAACATCTTATCACTCACAATTAGAAATATTCAAAATGCTGAGAACATATCTTAAATATAGTCAGCAGCAACTTTAGATTTTTTAAAAATACATAACCTGGTGTTGTAGATTTGTCTTTAGATTGAGACTGCAGACAAATTTCTGATTTTAGTTCTTCTTTGGATGGAACTGTCTGGGTTAAAGTTGGCTTCACAATTGATTTTGATACCTCTGTTTTCAGAGGACTAACAGAAGTTTTTTGAAGTAGCTCAGGATTTTGTACCTCACAATTTTTAGCACTGGTGATGGATGTAGAATATTTCGCTGGGGAACAAGTAGATTTCTGAAACATGATAACACTTAAAGTAAACAATAACATTCACAATATTTATAGGTAGTCCTATAACAAAACAATTCAAATCCTATGGTAACCTCTATATAAGACTTACGAAAAAAAACTTCATGACCTCTGATGGTTCAAACTGGTTTGAAAAAAAAAAAAAATCAACTTACAAAATGCTATTATTTAAATTATAATATGTAGCTTAGTCCACATATTATATGATAGGTGACTCCCTACTTTATAATTTTTTTCATTATTGTTACTAGTATCTTCATTAAATTCTTAACTATAGTAGATAAAATTATAGTTTTAATCTGTATTTTGATTAAGCTTATATCAATTCAACCAAATACAGGTTGAGTATCTCTCATCCAAAATGCTTGGGACAGAAGTGTTTCAAATTTTGGACTTTTTTCATATTTTGAAATATTTGTAATGAGGTATCTTGGCAGGTGTGACCCAAGTCTGAACATATATAGCTTAATGGCAGAGTGCTTGCCTAGCCCACATGAGGCCATGAATTCAATTCCCAGGACCAAAAAAAAAAAAAAATCATTTAAATTTCATATACACCTAAATACATACCCTGCAAATAATTTTATATGACATTTTTAATAATGTTATGCTATGGAGTTTTCCACTTGTGGTATCATGTCAGCTTTCAGAAAGTTTCAGAATTGGGAGCATTTCAGATTTCAGATTTTTAGATTAGGAATGCTCAACCTATATGTACCTGATGGCTAACTATAAATAAATTATTCAATATTTATGATGTAGGGAGGCACTGTGCTAAGTGCTATGCATATTAATTTTTTCAGCCCTGCTAATACCCTTTTCCCCCATTTTACATATAGAATAATAAGGCTTTGTAAAATTAAATAATCTGTGCAAAGCCACACTTCTAATTATTTGGGAAAACTGCGACTGAGTACAAGTCGAATTCCAAAAATTCTACACTAAAAGATAGTGGTCAAGAACATGACACTCTGCTTCTTTCTCACTTTTTTTAACATGGTTTTTTAAAACTTTCAAGGTAATACACTTAAAGTAAAAAAGTTTCAGATATTTGAAAAGAACATACAATGAAAGTATCCCCCCAAAATAATACTATTTAGAAATTTGCCTTCCTGGAGGCAACTATAGCCACTAATTTATTATGTCTTTTAGAAATAGTCAATATCATCTAATTATTTGTATCTATATAGCATTCTAATGGAGGAATTAATTTTTAGAGCTTACCTTCCCTTTGATGACCAAGAGGCTCTGTCATATGATTATATACTTTAGATCTGCATTAACTAGTGTAATTTCAGTTGCAAAATGCTAATTTATCTTGGAATAGATTACCAAACTTACGATTTTCACTTTCTGTAAAACTAACATTCTAAAAAATATATAAATACATCGTGCATATACTATAATATAAATATCTATCTATATATATCATGATTACTAGTCATAACAAAAAAGATTTTTAAAAACCAAAATGGTATTAACTCACCAAAGAGCTGGAAATTGAGGCTGTAGCCAAAGACTCATCAGCAGCACTAGAGGATGGGGCTTTATTCAAAGAGGCATCGCCATCACTTTGGGAACAGCATGTAGCTTCCTGCTTAACACTGCTGCTATTGATCCTAGCAGATGCTTCACTTGCAGAGGAAAATTTGGATAAACAAGCAGTACCAGGCTGTTCTTGTACACTGTTTTGCTTTGCAGATGAGTAACTTACATCATCTTCCCAGGAGCAAATCGTTGCAGCAAGATTGGCCAGACGGCCCCTTCTCCCAAGTGGGGTTGCTGAAGTATCTGAAAGGGGTGGTCTGGGAGGCGAGGCTGCCTTTTCCTCAGATGGCAATGATAAGAGTGCGCTTTCAGGTATATCATCTAAAGATATTTTCAAAAAAAGTTAAAACCATGTTTAAGAGTTATACTCATGTATAATAACAGGATCATTCCATACAGAATTTTTAAATGAGATTAATAGGTTTAAGAACCAGTAAAAGCTTTTGTATGCATAAAATACCAAGATACTTAAATTTAACAATAGTTCTTCAAATCAAATGATACCTAATCTAAATTTAAAAAGAAAACATTGTTTAACACCAACTTTTTTCAATTTATTGATCTATTACAGATGCTAATATACCATCTATTTAGGTTATATTTTTGAAATTAATTAATGATATTATAACACCACACAATTTAAGATTAAATATCCCACAGGAACTTTTTGTTTTAAAAATAAATTAGTCCAGTGCCCTACAACAGAATTTTCTGACAATGAAGTTCTGTATCTATGCTCTTCAATACAGTATCCCTACTCACTCATAGCCAATAAGTACTTGAACTCAGAAACTAAATTTTACTTTAAATAATTTAAATATAAATAGTTACATATACCTAAAGGCTACTATTTGGATAGCACAGAGTTAAAACAAATCAAATGTTTTCCTATAGTTAGTTCATTTGGAGATAAATCCCAAGTAGTGATGATTTAACTGATGAAGAATTTAGACCTATATGCATACAGAGTATGTACCCAGGGAGGCCAAAGGTCATGCACTTCCTATTCCACAAATTCAATCAAAGAAAGAGGTACCCCTCTTTCTGTTTAAGGCTTCTACCTGTGCCTGCACTTTCAATTCTTCTCCCTCCAAAACCTTCTAAGGGATCTTGCTCCAAACAACCCTCTTCCTCTCTACAAACTTTTTTCTCTGAATATTAAATATACTCAAGTTTCTTTCATCTTAAAAATTAGTATCTTCTTATCAACATCCACACTCTTAATTCCACTGTTAGGTATAATTACAACGTACCTATAAAAATTTTTAAATAAAAAATTTAAAAACCATTTGTGTTCTTTAGCTACTATCTTCTTCCCTGTGCAATATTCAATCACCATTAAAATCACCTGCCTACACCACTGCCCTGAAGTTGGTTTTGCTACTGAAACTATATGCCAGTACACACTAGCATTGTATTCTTGACATCTCTAAAACATACCACTGGTATTATGTTATGGAATTATGAAATGGAATGTCTTTTTCATTTAAGACATCATCTCAGCTGGGCACGGTGGCAATCACATGCAATCCCAGTGGCTCAGGAGATTAAGGAAGGAGGATCATGAGTTCAAAGCCAGCCTCAGCAAAAGTGAGGTGCTAAGCAACTCAGTGAGACCCCGTCTCAAAATAAAATACAAAATAGGACTGGGGATGTAGATCAATGGTCGAGAGCCTCTGAATTCAATCTCCAGTAACTATCCCCACCCCCCAAAAAAAGACATCATCTCTATGAGCTTTCTGTCTCCATAGTCTATCCATCATTGTCTTCCAACTGCCAGTTACCTCCATTTGGCTTTCCCACAGGCATCTCAAATAACATATCTAAAGTAGAAATCACCCCCAGTAAAATCCCCTTCCTCTCAGCAAATGACCTCACCAACTGCTCAGTCATTGAGACCAGAAATATCACCTCTCCTCCATCTAGTCATTAATTCCTATAGATTTTACCTCCTAATCTCTCAAATCCACTTTCTCCTTTTCACTTCCATGAGCCTTCAACATTGTACACCTAGATTATGGTATTAGCTTTTAACTCAACTTCCTGCTTTAAATCTCTGCCCTGCCCAATCTCGTCTCAATTTTGATACCAGAGTGATCTTTCTAAAACATCTGCCTGCTTTAAACTCTACTAGTACTTACCACCCCATCACCTCTAGTTAAACCAAACCAGGATCCTACTGCCTTTTTCAAATTTATCATTTGCTTTTCTACCGCAGGAGTTGTGTACCACACACCAGCTCTTTACACAAAGTATATTCATACTATTTACTTCTGTGCTTTTTATATATTATTTTTTCTGCCTATATTATCTTATCTAAAACCAGCTGTCCTTCAACGTCTGTTTACCAGCTTTTGATTCCTCCAGAAAAGGTTCCCTGACTACACTTTCCCTGATACCCTTTTACATACTTCTGTCATTTTCCTTAGAGTAAGCACTGCCTTTAAGCAGATGACAGTTTTATTATATTGTTTTAGAAATGGACTTAATATATCTCTGGTTCTTCTAACTAATCTCTATCAGAAAGGCTTCAGATAAATTACATTTTAGTATAAATCCTCAAACTGATTTATACCCAGTCTTGTTTAGAATTTAATAAACTGTTTATTACAAATACTTGAGTCACAATTTTCATTTCTTTTTTGGGGGAGTATCAGGGATTGAACTCAGGGCACTCTCAACCACTGAGCCACATCGCTATTTTTATATATATTTTTTTAGAGACACAGTCTCACTGAGTTGCTTAGTGCCTCCCCATTGCTGAGGCTGGCTTTAAAATAGCAATCCTCCTGTCATTTCTTAAAATCAGAGAAGATCTGATGCCTTAATGAGATTTACTGTCAAGACTGAGCTAGGCATTTGCTAATATTTGCTTTCAAAATGTTCAAAAAATCACTGCAGTGATGCCTTATGCTCTCAAATTTATAGGACCCTGCTTTTTAATATTTTTTTTAGTTGTAGCTGGACACAATACCTTTATTTTATTGTTATGTGGTGCTGAGGATCAAACCCAGCGCCCTGTACATGCTAGGCGAGTGCTCTACTACTGAGCCACAACCCCAGCCCCTCATTGTTTTTTGACCAAGTATAAAACCACAACCTTTTGCTGTTGTTATTTTTTCTTTAATTAAGAAAAATATACACTTTGCTACCCATGAATATTTCCAATAAAACAATAATGGAATGTTATCTGTTCAGGCACATTTACTCATTAAACTCCTCAAGCTTTATAAAGAAACATGCTTATTAACCTCACCCACTGTCAAAATTAATAGGTAGATGACACCATAAACTATGTGAACTCTGTTATGTACCCAAAAAGCATCAGGGAGGTCAAAGCAATTGAAAATAGGAGCATTAGGGTCAAATCTCTGGAGATTGGATTTTAGCTTGCCAACCATGGCCATGGTTCTTGGCCTCTCTGAACCTGGTTTTCTCTTCTATAAAATAAAGGTAATAGTAGTTATATATCTAATAAGATTGTTTTAAGAATTACATACTATTAGAACAAAAAATGTTTACAATATATTTATAATGCCTATCACATTAATGTCATAGCTGCTCTTGAGATTAAGATCATCACTGCCAGAACAGTAGTTGTAAAGTACCATCCAATAATTATCAAAATTCCAGTTAAAAGAATTCATTGTAATGGAAAAATGCCCAAAATATATGTAGTCCATCCATTTTTTCAGATCACTTGATCTAAATTCTGGCTATATATCATAATTAAAGAACTTTTAAAAAAATAAAAAAGTATACCTAGGGCTCTACCACACTTTTAAGATTTTAATCCAACAGTCTAAGTGATTCTGAGACGCGTGGACCAGCTTGAGAACCACAACTTGAAGTATGCTTCCTTAGATAAGAAAGCACTGAGTAGTCTACCCAGATGATTCTATTTACCACCACAGTGCTATTATCTAATACTATGCTGTCAACTTACAATGAACTATGTATCTGCACACAACTTCTCCCAGAACTGAGCTATTCCTGCACTGGCTACCTACCTGCACAGAGCTGTTTACCAGCACTTAAGCTGTCTACCTGCTTCTACCTGTACTCAGCAGTCTACCTGTACTACGCTGGCTCACAACTAAACTGTTTGGAGCCAGGACAACTTCCTACCTTGAGAAGTTTTATAGGTTTACTTTAGGTATATCTTTACAAAGATGACACAAAGTCATCTTTGAGGACACATGGGAAAAAGTTCTGTCATGTGTTATGGCCAAAGAAGGTTCTGCTTTTTGTTTATAAACATTCGGACACTGATAGTGTTTTACCTCTTTGCATTGGCTGCTAGCAAAAGGAGAACCTTAGGGCCTGTATGTAGTAAACAAACTTCATCTTTCACTTCTATGTTCTTCCTTTGCATATTTTCTGTCAACCCTGATTTCCTTATTTTTCTTGTTACAATACAATACAAGTATTTTCATAAGTCATCCCAAGCATTTTGTTTGGAACAAGTCAGGAGACAAATAAAATTGATCACAGCTTGAATAACCCTGCTGTATAATTGTTGATTTATTTCTCAGGCATCTCATCTGATTATAGGTGCATGAAAGGCAAAAATTCCATCACTTCATCTCTTTTCTGCACTGTAGCATAAGAATTTGCTTTACAGATGCTTAATTTTTTTTTGACATTTTTCTCTCTCCTACTAAAAAGTATTACATAGCTTGGTACTTGAAGTATATTTAATTAGTGAATCCACGAAATAAGACTTCTTAAATACAGAGCTAAGAGTTAGCACTGCTAATAATATCTAGTCTAGTTTTTTCTCTACCAGTTTCATTGCAAATAGATGGTAATTCAGATATACGCTCAATTTCTGTGAAATAGTCCAAGAACTTCTTCTGATCTACTTCAATAAGAACATAACCAACGTATACATATACTACAGGTATACAAACCACTGGCAAGCAAATGATACTCTTTCGTATAGATTAAACAAAAGCATTTATCTATAATGTGTTCATAACTAATAAAAATTTCAAAATGCTAAGTTGAATATTATTGAAAGAGATTTATGGACCAGGCCAGCCATATAACTTCTACCTGTCATATCATTATCCCAATGTCGCCGCTGCTCTGCGAGTTTTTGCATTCGTGTTTTAACTGAGGAGCCTGAGGTTGTGTCCAATCTTGACTTCAGCCCTCTCCCCACGCCCAGCAATGATGCTGGAACAGCCACAGAATCACTGACAATAGCTGATGCTTGTGGCTGCACCTGAGGAGATACAGGACTTGGAGAACAAGGTTTTATAGTCGCTGACTCAACTGGTTGTTTATTTTCCACATCAGAAACTTCTGCTTCAGTGCTGTCAGAACAACGTTTTTTTGATGGTGATGGCTTTGTACAAGATTTCACTACATTAAAAAGAATAAATAAAAAAAGACACTCAAAAATCTGTAATTTCTTATAGCATAAAAAACTTGAAGTAGGTATTTAACATTAATGAATCATTATGTTTCTCTAATATTTCCATTGTTTTTAATTACAAGAAAAATATGAAAACTATTCAGTAACTTAGAAATATGATATGAAGGACTTTAAGTGATCATGTAATTTTGGTTTAAAATTTCTACTGAAAAGAAATTTATTCTTAAGATACAAGCATAATACTTGACATAGTTAATGGAAATAAAAAGTTCATACTTGCAGTGTTCTAAGATATTAAAGATCACCATAATCTAATCATTTCATTTTTAGAGAAGATAAATCAAGCAGTTCTCGAGAAATTAAATTACCCAACTAAAGTTATACAGCTTAGATAAGGGTAAAAAACAGGTTTTCTGGTTTTTGAAACAATCTTTCATGGACATTTAACTGACAAGCAAGGGTAGAAGGGCTGGTCAGTTTTAGGAGGTTTAGGAAAAGCAGGGACCGAACAAGCAATACCAAACAAATTCTTAACATTTTACATTTTAAACTTCTATGAACACCCATAAAATAAAGTAAAAAGTCCCTAAAACAAAAAGGATGTATCTAAATATAAAGCATATTACTTCTATCCAGGAATGACTTTCAATATATCTCAGAAAAATTAATATTTTAAAAAGTAAAAATGTGAATTTCATATAAGGTGAGTTTCACTGGCTTTCTAACTTACGTATTTTGTTCTGGCAGTGACCAAAGTACCATTATCAGGAAGTCATGACTGCCCTCATCAACACCAACTTAATCAAACACAGTAATGATACATTCTGGTCTTTGGTAACTCATTTATGGAACTACCTTCTAGGAATTCATCTAACAATTTTTTTTAAAAATGTTTCTATGTTAACATGCAACACTGCCTGAAAATATAGAATTCTGCAAGTTTATAGTAAATATTTCAATTTGAGTATCAAAATGAAGTTCCAAACACTAGTTTTCAAGTATATAGTACTCATTAGTATAAACTTGTGACACAGAAAAAAGGATCCTAGATTGGGCCAGGTCCCTGTGTTTCTGATTGAATACCAAATAATATGTAACATATTTCCCTCCATCTTTTCAGAATATAAAAATACATGAAAATAAATTATCCTTCTAAGGTTAGTTTCCAAAATAACTAAGCCAGCCCCATAGCCTCTTCTCTGCTTTTTTTGTAACATTGTTTTTCCCTTGTAATGATCTTTTTATATGTATTTTAAAATTGTACTAAGGAAGATTATCTCTAGACTTTTATGGAAAAGTCCATACTCAAGAAAAAAATTAAAACAGCTTGCTAATGCTATCTGAGTATTCAGAATTCAGTAAAGAATTGGTTAAGATTCCAGTTGAGTTTGGAATGGGGTGCTTGTGTGTTCTACCATGTCTAGAGATTAACAATCTAAATTTCAACCCAGTCCTAAAGAGTTGGTTCAGCAAACACAAGATGAAAAAAAGGTTCATTAAACCTCAAGCATTTGTAAGCAGTCTGCCTTTTGCTGCCTTGTTCATATGAGACACCATCTAGGAAATGAGTGGTCAGCTACTCTGGGATTGTTGGGGTGAAAAATTCCACAGTACTGCCAATATAAAGTGTTACTCTGCTCCTTTATTTTTCTTCCCTTGGGGTTTTTAAGAATAACTGGAATTGAAGAAAACAAAGTTCAATTATTTTATTTGAAATATTTCTTAAACTCTACTCCAGCCTAAAAAGTTTTAGGCCCTCAGAGGCATATTTGTTTCCAAAAGATCTTGATTCTTTTGCATGTATAATGAAATTCACATATTATATCTTTCAAAAAATGGAAATTTTACTTCCCCCCATGCGAAGTCTTTTACCTTCACCACCAGATAGGGGCTGCTGGTTACTTGCTTCTGAAAGTGGCTCTCGGGCTCGCTTAGCATGAGTGACAGACCTTGGTGCTGCTGTGGGCCTCTCAGCTATCTTTCTCTGAAGATTCTCTCTCCTAGCGCGGGTTCGCTCAAGCAGTTTCTAAATATGTATTAGAGAATGTTAAAATACAAGGTTAGTCAAAGGTTCACAAAATTTCAGGTATCTTCCAAAATCACCAAATGGATAACAGTTAAATATATTTCAAAGGATAATTCCAAGTCATTAAGTCAAGATTTCACTAAATGAGCACCCCAATGTCAGAATGATTACAGATTAAATATGAATATTAAGGATCAATAGAATATGTAAAGATATAACATTTTAAATCCTTTCTGCTCAAATCAAAAGATATAATCTATTTTCTCACCCTTGTGATCTGCTTTGACCAATAAAATATGGCAGAAGTGATATTCTAAATGATTTCCCATCTTAGACCTCATGAAATCTTGCAGTTTCTGTTCTCCCTCCCTTAAAATACTGCCCCACATGAAAAAGCCCAGGTTAAGTCTGCTGGCAAAAACATGGTTTCCCTGACAGCCAGCATCAACCAGATCCATAAGTAAGGTTATTGTAGACTATCTAGGCCCAGATAATTTGTCAGAACACTAACAAATCCTGCATGACCCTGGGGAAGACCAGCAGAAGAACAGCCTAGCTGAGCACAATACAAACTGACCCACTGAATCATGAGATATAAACCAGCTGTGGTTTTAAGTCAACATGTTAGGCAGAATAATGGTTCCCCAAAGATGTTTATGTCCTAATCCTCTGATCTGTGAAGCTTACCTTAGAACAATAGTGACTTTGCTGATGTGATTAAGAATCTTCAGAGGGGGAGATTATCCTGGATTATTTGGATGGGCCCAAATGTAATCACAATGCCCCTTACAAGACAAAAGGAGGCAGGAAAATTGGAGACAGGAAAAATTTGATAGAAAAATAGGTCAGAGTGGTGATTAGTAGCTTTGAAGTTGGAGAAAGAAGCCACAAGCCAAGGAAGGCAAGAGGTGTCTAGAAATTACAAAAAGCAAGTAAATGGAATTTTCTCTAGAGCCTCCAGAACAAATGAAATCTTGGCCCCAAACACTTGATTTAAACTCAGTAAAATCCATTTCAGACTGTGATCTACAGAATTGAAACATAATAAATGTGTCATTTTAAGCCGCCAAATTTGTGGTACTGTGTTACAGCAGCAAAACTAATACAGTCACTAAGATAGAAAATCTTGGCAAGCAGCAAGAGATAGCTGACATATTAGTCCTTTCATAAGACACTTCCTAAGAGAAAGGAAAAACAATGCAATCTTATGTTTTATTTAATTAAACATCAACATATTATAAAATAGTTTTAAGTTCAAATGTTAGTCATCCTGTGAACTTGTAAATACTCTTTTCTTGCTTTGAATTACCTGATGTTTTTATCTGAATCAGTGTGATGTAAAACAATTTATTCTCTTTCAAATGGACACAACTAAAGAAAAGATGCAGATTCTTACAGCCTGCACAAACAGACATAGCAGCAGTTAGTGCAAGCTGGAGAATTAAATCTTTTTAATTCCTTAATTAAAACAGAATAACAATTTTTAAGAAATCCTCTGAGCATGCAAAAGGAGGGAGAGCTGTTTTTGGAAGAAGGCACAACTCTCTACTCTTCTGAGGAATGATTCTCATTTAAAATCAATTGGAAGAAGTGACACTAATCAAAATGTGTCACTGAAAGCCATTTATTAGCCAAATGCCTTCCAAAACACAAGACCTTTACCCTCTAAATAAAAGTCTCCTTGATAAACATAAAAGTGATCATAATGTTACACAAATTCATAAATGTCTAATAGTTTTCAAGATAAAATATGTCACTCTGTAGACACAAAACTAGCCTATTTATTCCAAGATGTGTCCACATTCCATTTCATCAGTTAGAATACTTATGAGTCAGTACAGCTTCAGTTACCATGAGGAATGGGTCACAACAAAAGAATGTGGTTTTGCATTCAAACACACACAAGTATTCTATTGTTTGCATTACATTCAAAATTTCCAGATTTAAAAAAAAAAAATTATAGCAGATAAGGAAAAAAAATCCCTAAGCTATAAAATAAAGCTAGTAAACCTCAAAGTATTAATTTAAAAGAAATTGTGTATCTAAAGTACATAAACTAAACTGCTCAATAAAGTATAGGTAGCCCTTCATCATAATATTGTATCAAGAATTTAAAGATTATGAGGCTGGGGCTGGGGCTCAGTGACAGAGCACTCGCCTAGCACCGGCGAGGCACTGAGTTCTATCCTCAGTACCACATAAAAATAAATAAATAAAATAAAGGTATTGTGTCCCATTACAACTAAAATATATATATATATATAAAATAATTTAAAGACTCTTTAAACATAATATTCTCAAAAGGTAGAGGAATTTTTAAAAACACACTGCAATAACTAACATATTTTGGAAATAAGATTTTCCTCATGAATGAATCTCAGATAACAGAAACTGTATCCCTAAACTTCTAACTTAAATTTTTCTAGAAGATATTACTGATTTCCCTCCCTTTTTAAACAGAGTAGACTCAATATAAATTAACTTCTTATTATTTTCAATGTGCTCTAGCAGATTTTCTCCTAGGCCAACACAGAGACTTTCATTTAATTCTGGAAAACAGAAAATCTCCTTTCAAAATGGTAGCAGTATTTTGTTTGTTCATTTATACTAAGCCATGCATGCATAGAAAAATATAAAGTATCTCACGATAAATGATAATCTTTACAAAGTATTTTATTTATTTATTTCTAAGAGATGGGGGCTTCCTATATTGCCCACGTGAGCCTCAGCCTCTTGGGTAACTGAGACTATAGGCACACACTACCATGCTTGGCCAAATAATTTTAGTTATAGCTTTTTTCCTTTTTAAAGTTCCAATAAAAATGCTGTTACTTGTCATACAAAGCTCTGGGTTTACTATACTTTGACCAGTTACTATTACTCTTGATCAGACGTCAAACAAAAAGGCTATATCAATATTCTCAATAGTTCACCTATGGTTTTAAATTTACCCAATAAATACAACAATCACTTACAATTATACTAAACTTAATATAAAACACTTTCAGTATCTAGCACACACTAATTCATTTCACTTTCAAAACTTTATTTGGTGGTTCTCTTTCCACTACTATTTTTCAGATGAGAAACTGGGACACAAGTAACAGGATATGTCACACAGCTAAGTAGCAACAAAGCATACTATGCGCATGTACAAATATGTAACAAATCCCATCAATATGTACAACTATAATGGACCAATAAAGAATGTGGAAAAACAACAACAACAAAGGAGCAACAGGCAGGATTCAAAATCCAGATCTGAGTCTGAGCTCTTAATCATTTTGCCATTAATTGTCTTAACTAAATTACTTACTCTTTTTAAGAATTTGTCAGCAGAATTAATTTCATATCATTATTTTTTTATTAATTTCATATAATTATTTTCTTTATTTATGGTTGGTCCATGAAGAAAAACATTAGAAGATATTGCCCTGTGGATCATCTAGATCTTGATTCAAAGAAATAAGGTAACAAAAATTTATGAGCACTTGAGGGCTGGGCTGGGGCTCAGTGGTAGCTTGCTTGCCTAACACGTGCAAAGCCCTGGGTTCGATCCTCAGCATCATATAAAAATAAATAAAAAAAAATAAAGGTTTAAAAAAATATGTGTATATATAAACACCTGAAATATGAACAGTCACAGAATACTTGATATATGAAAGATTAATGCCAATTTTTCAGATGTGACAATAACATTGTTATTATGTTTTTTAAGAGTCCTTTTTCAATATTTAGTGATAAATATTGAAGTATATGTATATGAAACTATGATATCTAGATTTGCTTCGAAATAATTTGTGAGGTAAGTGAGAGGGAGTTACAGTGAAACAAAATAGCAACAGGTGGATAACTGCAAAGAACAGATAATGAGTGAATGAAGGGTTATTATACTATTCTATTGATTTTGAAATTGTCTTCAATATAGAGGAACATTGCCAAAATGTTCTCACAGGTTTGTAAAATAATTTGCACTCAGTGCCTGTCTGCTATGTTAATTCAGCAAAATGGTATTATATGTGTTTGACACTGGGGGAAATGCCTCAGAATAGAAATAGCCTCTGCCTTCATGAAGCTCAAGCTCTGGCAGAAAACTAGTTCAACAAGTAAAGCACTGAAGAGGCAAATGCAAGGGAGATGAATACTGTTACTGTGAAAGGTTATTCACCTCTGAAGAAGGGAGATCAAACTGAGGGCTGAAGGTCAACTCAGAATTTGCCAGGCAGAAAGGGCAGGGAGAATGAGTGTGTAGGTCCAAATGGCAGCAGGGAGAACTAATACAGAAGAGTCTTGCTCCAGGAAGAGTTTAGAATGAGTCTAGCCTTTCCCATTAAGAGTTACCAAGAGGACTGGGATTGTAGCTCAGTGGCAGGGTGCTTGCCTTGCATGGGTGAGGCATTGGGTTAGATCCTCAGCAGCACATAAAAATAAATAAATAAAATAAAGAGATTGTGTCCATCTACAACTAAAAAAAAAAATAAAAACAAACAAAAAAGAGTTACCAAGAGAATGAGGTCCTAATGCCCTGGCATTCATGTAACCAGACCTCTGCTGTGATGTAGGATGGCATTGGTTATGAATCACCCTTGGGAGAACTGAGAAAGTAGTCTTTGGAATAGTTTTTTGTGTTCTGTGGTTTTAAGAAGGAACCTGTTTGGGAAAGTCACTTTATACTTACTTTCAATCCTTTCAGACAAGGAACTGTAGTTCATGTCATTGTGAAAAAATGTTATGAATGCTATTATTAAGCACCTAACAGTTGGGAAGCAATTCAAATAGTTCACTCATAACCAATTAAGGAAAAGATGTCAAAACTGTTATTCCAACTGCAACTTTTCATAATATAAACTATATACATTAAACCAAACATATTTCTAAACACATTCTAAGATTATCTAAACAAGAAGTTTCTTTTAACTAAGATTTGTACTAGTTTTATTTTACTTTTAAGTGAAATAAAGACGAAATTTTCAGAAAACCTTCAAAATGCTTCTAGTTACTAAGGAGAACACACACTGTTGTTTTAAGGACTTCTAGTCTCATTATAACATAAAATAACGTATCCTTTTTTTACTTCAATTTTAGTGACAGATATTTATTGCATGGCCAGCCCTATTCTTTAAACTAATTTTTTTAAAAATCCTGGATTTTTCTATTAGAATCTTTAAACAAACTGATATTTTGTATCCCAAGATGACTAAATATATGAAACACAGAAAGATGGCTTTGTGAATACAAGTAAACTCTGTTGAAATCTTTAGTATCTTAGCGTTAAGGAATTGTAACTACATCTCCCCAAAACAATGTATTACTACTTTCCACTGAATTTTTCAATTTAGTGTAAAAAACGTTTTTAGGCTCACTTTGTAACAACTCAAAACATGACAGTTTGAAACTTGCACAACAGCGTGAAAGAAAAAGAGGAACCGTGCTGGAATAAAAAGGGAATGGACGAACCAGCAACACGAAACTTCCGAATGTGTCAACGAACACTTTCAACATGAAGCTAAAACTAGAATGTCAAAAGCTATGTAATGTTTTGAACAACTAATAAATAAATAAAATCAAGTTATTTATATGCTAAAAAAAAAAAAAAAAAAAAAAAAAAAAAAAAAACTAGAATCCCCGGTATGAAACTTTGCAAGTTAGCAGAGCAACGGAGTCTAAGGGAACCCTGTTGACTCTGGGAATGAGTACAAAGATTCCAGCACCAGCTTATTTGACAGGTTTCGCTGTCGATAACAGCATCCTTAAATGCACACACCCCACCCTGTGAAACCTCATCAGCGGGCCGCGAGAACCCCGCAAACGACATCCCATTTGATTTCCCGGCAGTGGTTGCACACACACAGCTGAGTCACTGGGCACCAAACTCCACCCTACAAATGATTCCAGCTTTTTCCAGCAGGACTTGTTCCGTCAGGTCCCAAGCCTCACTCTTTGGGGAAAGGAGGGAATGGACAGGGAGGATTCCAAAGGGGTAACCGGGAACGCCAGGAATTTTCTCACTGCCCTCTTTTATGAACAGAGTCAAAGCTTTACTCCCAGAGTTTCTTCTACACGGAACAAACAACCACAAACCGCTAACAAACGCAGCTGAGACCCCCGGGGCAGAAAAGAGCGCACCTGAGACCCCCGGGGCGCTGGCCCAGCCCACCCGGCACCGAACCCCACACGCTAGCTCTCACTGCGCACGCGCGTACGCACGCGCGCGTCCCACCGGTGGGCTCAAAGGTTGACAGAGGGGAGGGTGGGGGACGACAGGGGTCATGACTGGCTGCGCCCGCAAATTTTCTCACCTCGGTAAAGGGGTCCATCGCCCCAGGCTTCGCGTGTGGACTACGAGACAATGGAAACGGTGGTTCAAATTCAGGAAAAGAAAAGTGAGTCTGGGCTCAGTGTGTCTCCTGGAGAAAACAAGGAGTCAGGCACAGGAATTCTCCCACAACCAACTCTCCTCTTCCCTCAGCTCCCAGTGTCGCTCTACCTCCTTCGGCCGTTCAAATTTGAATTTCAGCGCCCGGAGCGGCGCGCGTGCGCGCTGGTCGGGGCGGGGCGGGGCGCATCTCTCCCCGCCCCCGGCGTTTGATCACGTGGTGCAGTGAGCAAGCCGAGGTTCCCAGGGGAGGTCTTGCTCTCAACCGCTTAGGTGGGGCTGCTCCCTCCCTTCAACTGCTTCCCGGCTTAGGCCAGGGAGTCCCCTAAGGCTCACATACCCAACCCTGTTAAACCGATCCCTTCCCACCTGGCATTCGGGCATTCCCGCCTTCCTTCATTCCTAAATAAAGGATTAAGAGCCCTCGTCTTTGAGGTCCCTGGCCCTTTGGCCCTCTATAGCTTTCTCTCCGCTTGCCACTCCAATCCCTGCTGCAGGTTTGCCCTCTGAAGAGGCAGGTCTGGTAGGTTCCTGCACTCTTGGGTCCAGTGATGAACCCTTTCACATAGGGAAAACGAGGCTAAAATTAATGCACTGTGTTTAAGAATTGGTATGCAAAACGCGTCCTACTATTTTAAATCCCATCGAACTGCACAGAATTTTGGAGTTGGGAGAATTTTGAGCAGCTCTCCAGTTCCGTCCTTACTATTATCTGAGAGTGGGGGATCCAAAGACATTAGTTCGACCAAGAGAAATGAAAATCCCATTCTCAGCTCATGATCCGCTTTTCACTCTAAATCTGTGTCTCGGATGTTTTATTTATGCAGAACTAGAAATTGTAAGATATGTTACATCGTTGCCGCATTAGATTCACTTCTTGTGTGGCAAGTCTGTGCTAGGGCTTGTGAAGTCATTCTCGACTTGTTCATCTGAAAAGTAAAGCCCATGTAGATTAGATGACTGTCCAACAACTGAACAAAACAAATTATTCATCTCAAATAAGATCTTTTAGCATATTTAATAAAGCTTGATCAGCATGACTAAAAAAAAATACGTCAACAGTAACATCTTTAATGTGCATCTTAATGCTGTAGATTGTAATGAACCAAATTCTCAGAGTGGGGTATGGGAGAAACTACTTGGGGGTTGGCCTCCAACAGAACTGTGACTTTAGGCTTTAAGCAAATCATTTAATGTGTCTTTTTACCTTTTGAAGGAATAATGGATTTCTTTGGAAATACAATTAAGGTTAACTATCTAGAAAAACACTCTTTCCCATCATACACTATTTTACATAAAATTTCATGAAGCACAGGTACACTGAGTTCGAAACCTGATTAAACCACTTTCTATTTTAGTTCACTCCAATATGTAACAAGAATAAACAGTCGCCCTGCCTTCCTCAGAGCGTTAGAAGCAGCAGATGAAAATAAATCCAGAAACATTCTTTTAATACTACTATTCAAGTATTATACAATACTATTCTAGTGTTACAGAATACTAATATTCTAGCACATAGTAGTATTCTGAAATATTCCTATTACAATAATTCCGTACACACACTTGAAGTAAATGGCATATGAATTTGTATTTAACTCAAAACATGCTACTTATGAATCAAAGGGGAAAGATGTTTGAATTTTTTTTCCGAGTTAACTAGACTGGAAAGGGGTGTGAGCATTTGGGATGGGCTGTGTTTGTATATGACAACACTGGGAATGAGTCATTAGAAATTTATGTAGCCGTTGTACCCTCTGGCTATAGCCTCTGTGAGCCTTAATTTCTTTGAAAATTACCTCAACTAGGTTCCCTTAAGACTAAAAGATAAATCACCTAGCACAAGTTAGCTACCCTAAACATTGAGGTTATCTTTCCTCACAATCCCGGTATAGTGTTGGTCTTTACCTTGATGTTGATGGTACTAATAGCAACCACCACAATAGTACTACTTGCTAAATGCCGGCTATGTGCCACAAAGCCCACACCCCTAGAGTACTGCAGTTGACTGCTAACTGAATGATTTTTCTCTTTTTAAAAAGTGTGTGATGACCAGGCACAGTGGCATAGTGGCTTATGTGAGTAATCCCAGCCACTTGGGCTGAGACAGGATGATGGTGCCTTTGAAGCCAGCTGGGCAACATAGTGAGACCTCCAACTCAAAAAGAATTGTTATGAAATATTTCTAGTTTACAAGATAGAAAATGGTGAATAATAAAATACAGCCAGTACCCCTAGATTTAAAAAAAGAAAAAAATCCCATATAGAAGTGAAGTCTCCAGTATGGCCCTCCCTAATCCTATTCACCTTCCCATTCCCCAGTGCTAAAACTGTCTAGATTCTGATGTTTATCCCTATAAAAATATGTCTACTTTTATTATTATATATACATATATAAATATCACTGAAAGTGTTTTATATAAATTTTATCTTCATTGTTCATATCCTTTTGCAGTTTTTGGCTGAACATTATCATTTTGATATCATTGTCAAAATAGCTAAAGTTGCATTTCATTCATTTTTTTACTACTGTATTTATTATATAAAAGTACTTGCAATTTATACAATATCCATTATCTTCTCAATAGATATTCAGCTTGTTTCCAATTTGTTGTCCTAAAGGTCCCATGATGCCAGTGCATACACATGCCAAAATTTCTTTAGATTAATATACCTAAGATTTAGTAGATAATTTCAACAAATATATTTCAATATGATTACCAGATATGGAAAATAAATTGTTCTTGAAAATGGTTGCAACAATTTATACCACAGTCGGTAGTGCATGAACATGGCTATTACTCCTGTTCCTCCCAGTAATGGATTTTGTCATTCCTATCTGTGTGCATTTCTCTTATTACTAGTGGAGGCAAATTTGTGTGTTTATTGGCCTTTCAATTTTTCTTTTTTGTGATCATCAAATTTATATCCATTGCCCATTTTTTGTGGGTTTTTTTCGTTATTGATTTGTAGACTTTTTGTTAATTTGCTTACAATTTTCTTGAAAAATAAACACTTTCTTGGTTTTGTGGCTTGCAAATATCTGTTCTTCTTTTGTGGCTAGGTTTTCACATTATATTTTAACTCTACAGAAATGTTTAATGTTAATTTATCAGATATTTTTTCTTTAGGTTTTGTGTATTTTATACCTCAAGAATTTCTTTCCTGAGCCGGGCACAGTGGTGCACACCTGTAATCCCAGAAGCACAGGCAGTTGAGGCAGGAAAATCACAAGTTCAAAGCCAGCCTCAGCAGCTTAGTGAGGCCCTAAACAATTCAGTGACACCGTATCTCTAAATAAAATATTAACTCTAAATAAAATATTAAAAAGGGCTGGGGATGTGACTCAGTGATTAAATACCCCGGGGTTCAGTCCCTGGTACCCCAAATAATAATAATAATAATAATAATAATAATAATAATAATAATAATAATTTCTTTCCTACCCTGAATTCATAAAAAATTCTCCCCTGTATTATCTTTTTTTTTTTTTATGGTACTGAGGATTGAACCAAGAGGAGCTTTACCACATTCCCAGTCCTTTTTATATGTTGTTTTCAGGCAGGTTCTTGTTTAAGTTGCTTGGACCTGGATAAATTGCTGGCCTCCAATTTGCAATCCTCTTGCCTCAGCCTCCCATGTTGCTGGGATTACAGGCATTCCACTGCACCTGTGTTCTTCTAAATATTTTAAATTATAGATTTTCATGGTTTTCTCTTAAGCTACCTGATTTATTTTGTATTTTATGTGGATAATCAGTTGTCTTAGTAGCAGTTTATAAATTGTCCATTATTTTCCTCTGACCTGTTATGCTACTTTTACCACATGTTAAAACTTTTAGGGAGCTGGGGATATAACTCAGTAAAAGAGTATGTGCTTGGCATGTGCAAGTCCTTGGATTCAGTCCCCATCACCCACACACAAAAAAAATTCATGCACATGCAGATTTATGATGTTGGAACTCTTCATTCTTTTCTACTGGTGCATTTATCTATATCTTAGCCATGCTGTCTTGATTGCAAATGTTGATTTGTAGTAGAGCAAATCCAAAACTGATTTAAGTTTATTGTGTCCCTTATTCTTCCACCTGAATACAGGATCAGACTCTCAAACTCCATAAAGAAACATTTTTTGATGATGTTAGTTCTGCCTATCCATGAACAGGGTATATTTTTCCATCTTCTAAGATCTTCTTCTATTTCTCTCTTTAGGGTTCTGTAGTTTTCATTGTATAAGTCTTTCACCTCTTTTGTTAGGTTGATTCCCAAGTATTTTTTTTTTTGAAGATATTGTGAATGGAGTGGTTGTCCTCATTTCCATTTCAGAGGATTTGTCGCTGATATACCAAAAGTTCTCTATAGGTTTAATGCAATGCCAATCAAAATCCCAACGGCATTTCTTGTAGAAATAGAGAAAGCAATCATGAAATTCATATGGAAAAATAAAAGACCCAGAATAGCAAAAACAATGCTAAGCATGAAGTGTGAATCAGGCGGTATAGCGATACCAGACTTCAAACTATACTACAGAGCAATAGTAACAAAAACAGCATGGTACTGGTACCAAAACAGGCGGGTGGACCAATGGTACAGAATAGAGGACATAGAAACCAATCCACAAAACTACAACTATCTTATATTTGATAAAGGGGCTAAAAGCATGCAATGGAGGAAGGAGAGCATCTTCAACAAATGGTGCTGGGAAAACTGGAAATCCATATGCAACAAAATGAAACTGAATCCCTTTCTCTCGCCATGCACAAAAGTTAATTCAAAATGGATCAAGGAGCTTGATATCAAATCAGAGACACGCCGCCGTCTGATAGAAGAACAAGTCGGCTATGATCTACATACTGTGGGGTCGGGCTCCAAATTCCTCAATAGGACACCCATACCACAAAAGTTAATAACTAGAATCAACAAATGGGACTTACTCAAGCTAAAAAGTTTTTTTCTCAGCAAAAGAAACAATAAGAGAGGTAAATAGGGAGCCTACATCCTGGGAACAAATCTTTACTCCTCACACTTCAGATAGAGCCCTAATATCCAGAGTATACAAAGAACTCCAAAAATTAGACAATAAGAGAACAAACAACCCAATCAACAAATGGGCCAAGGACCTGAACAGACACTTCTC